CTAAATTTTTATTTGTTTTGACCACACTTGGTCCAGCAGCACATTGTTTGAGATACATATATTTTCAAATTGATAGGGTGTCAGTTGAAAATCAGTTTTTTTATGACTTTGATGAAATTGAGGCATTATACAACCAACTTTGAACTGTCTAGATTCTAGATTGAATTTAGTGTTAAGAATATTGTGTATACATGGATTGTTTTTATGTCTAAACAGTGGTGTGAGGCTAACACTTGGCCATCTAGTGGTTTAGTCAGGTATTTTTCACCATCCAACTTCAAATTAAAGTTTCCTACGACTTGGATTATTATTGACAGCACAGAATATCCCGTGATAAAACCTAAAGCTCCTAGAGCTCAGGCAACCTTTTCATCAAATAAAAACAGAAACACTGAAAATTCTTGAATGTTCGACACCTGGTGGTTTAGTCAACTATGTCTCTATGTCACATGGAGCGAATTATTGGACTTGGCAAAACATACAAAATTCTAATAAATCCTATGAATGGAACTGAAACAAAACTTTCATCTGAAATAACATTTAGTTGTTTTATGTTGTGTAATTTTAGAACTTGTATTGTGCCAAAGGATGCATAAATAAAAGTGACGCAATGAATTTTGTTCTGATATATATATATTTACAATTACATGCACATGTAAATTGTAATGCATATAAAAATAAGGAGATGTGGTATGATATTCAGTGAGTTTATCGAACTAAAGTGCATAAGGAATGGGTTTAAGCAGTTACAGGTGTTACTGTCACCGTACAATCTCCAACAATGAGAAAAACTCGTACCCTGTAAAAAATTTCAGAGATCTTACAACTAAGTTTTGTTGTCTCACCTTGACTTTGGTGAATTTTTTTTATATCTGTTGATGTAAATATAAAAAAGAAGATGTGGTATGATTGCCAATGAGACAACTCTCCACAAGAGACCAAATGACACAGAAATTAACAGCTATAGGTCACAGTACGGCCTTCAACAATGAGCAAAGCCCATACCGCACAGTCAGCTATAAAAGGCCCCGAAATGACAATGTAAAACAATTCAAACAAGAAAACTAACAGCCTAATTTATGTACAAAAAATGAACGAATATAACAAATATGCAACACATAAACAAACGACAACCACTGAATTACACTTTTACAGGCTCCTGACTTGGGACAGGCACATACATGTACATACAGAATGTGGCGGGCTTAAACATGTTAGCGGGATCCCAACCCTCCCCCTTACCTGGGACAGTGGTGTAACAGTACAATATAAGAAAGAACTATAAAAATCAGTTGAAAGAGGCTTAACTCATCAGATGGATAAATACAAATACAAGTGGACGTGGTCGGTTAGTTGTACATCCAAACAACAAAAAGACACTAAGTACAGATCTGAGAGTACTCGCAGTTACTGACAGCTAGTTCAAAGCCACTAACAACTGATAAAAAAATCTTGCATCTAAGACTAAATTATCAATCCGTAAGCTCCCTTTAGAATTTTATAAATTTTAGATTTTACATTTCTGAGTTATGGGGTTTTATTTAATTAAAAAAGGGGGATTTTCCAGTTTTTGGACAACAACTCAAAAATGCTTTAAGCAGTTCACATGAAACTTTGGTGAATTATTTATAGCTATTGATGTAATCTCCCTATTGATTTTCATAAATTTCAAATATGACATTGAGAGGAAATTGAACTTTATTTGTTTATAGTCTGGCAACAGATTTATTAAGTATTGCGCAACAGCACAGTGTATTGCACAACAGCAAGAGATCTTTAATTGAATATAAATTCAATTCATATAATCGATTTCAAGTTCATTGACTACATTTATTCAGAAACTATATTATGTCAAATATTTAATTACAATCCAAATTCAGACCTGTACATGTATCAAGCTTGAATATTGTGTCCATTTTTGCCCCAACTGTTCAGGGTGGGACCTCTGCGGGTGTATCCAGCTGCGCTGAGCGAATCAGTTTATTTCTTAATTAAGAACTCCTTTTTTCATTCATAAATTACTTTATGCTTGGAAATATAATTTTGCTTGGAGTTGAAAGAGTTGCAATGTACATTTATTCTACATAGCTCTATGGTACCAAATTAAATCAAAAGTTTATATAAAAGAAAGAAGTCAAAGGTTTCCCATCATAGTTTAGTTGCATACATTTTTTTTGTACCTGAGGTCGTTGAATATAGATCATTATATAAATAAGGAGATGTGTTATGATTGCCAATGAAAAAACTAAGGATTTTCTTATCTAAGGAATAGATTAACTTAGCCGTATTTGGCACAACTTTTTGGAATTTTGGGTCCTCAATGCTCTTCAACTTTGTACTTGTTTGGCTTTATTACTATTTTGATCTGAACGTCACTGATGAGTCTTATGTAGACGAAACACGCGTCTGGCGTATTAAATTATAATCCTGGTACCTTTGATAACCAATTTGACTATAAACATAGATAAAAAAGGTACAAACTGGACATAATGCACTAGTTCATAAACAAGTGAGAACAATCGCCTTCATAAAGTGCTCAGAATATGACATTCATAAAACTTGTTCAATATCATTAGATAACTCTAAATCTTAAAGACTGAAAGCCACCTCTGATAAGTACACTGTACTATGCAAGATAATGATATAACTGGACTAAAAATACACACAACCTGTAATTAACTGCCTTTACAGCGCTTTCGCGCTTTGATTTATGAATAATATCAATATGTGTGTTCCATGAAGCTGATGATTGAATGTTATCCCAAGGTTACAAAGATTATTTATTTTCTCAACCTCTTCACCATTAATTCCCCAAGAACACAGGTGGATGCTCCCTTTCCCTTCTAGTAAATACAATATTTTTCGTTTTCTTTGAGTTAAAACGAACAGCCCATGATTTAGCCCAGTTTGAGATAACATCTAAGTCATCAATCAAAGAAAGCTGCTACAGCATGATCATCTTCTACTATAACAAATAAAGAAATGTCATCTGCAAAAAGTCTAATGTCATTAACAATGCCATTTAATATATCATTTATAAATAAACGAGAAACAGAATGGGTCCCAAAACTGATCCCTGCATGCATACATTTAAGGGTTGATGAAAAGCCTTCTTAAACTACTTTTTGTTGACGATCTGAAATATAACTTTTTATCAAAGATAAGAGATGATCATTTAAGCCAGAAAGTTTAACATGTTTAAATAAAAGTCCGTTATGCCAAACTTTAACAAAAGCTCTAGATCCATCACAAAAAAATACAATCCTAACATCCCTCCAACTAGCCATATTACTGATAATTTTATGATATATTTCAATTAACTGATGACAGTATAGTCTCCTGGCTGGAATCCAGATTGAAACATTGAACAGAAGGTTATTACTCCTCATATAATTATACAAGTGTTTAAAAAGAACCTTTTCCATAATATTAACAACAATACTAGTAACATAAATAGTTTATGCCAAAACATTCACTAGCCATTTTTGCTTATGATATTATTAATTTGTTAATCCGCAACTCCTTTAAAACGGTATCATTAAATTCAACCAAATTGCACAAATATTTTTACAGGACAGGAAGGTGTAAGCCTGTTATTTTGCTTTTCAATCGGTGTAATTTTTCATTTCTGGTTATAGAAATGAAAGACGACAGGTGATGCACGTATACCTTAGAATATTCAAACATTCCATTCATTTAAGTACGTTTGTACGACATTGTTGTTACAGAATATCTGATTTTTATATCTATTAAATCAAAGGTATATTATTTCTTGGTTTCCCCACCACCACCACCACCACCACCACCATACACTAATAGTGATCAGATTACAAAATAATAAACGATAAAACTCAAAACTTTAAAATCCATAGATTTTTTATTTAAGTACTTCAAAATGTTATAAACATCTCAATGGATTGAACTTCTGTTCACTTTAATTTTGTGTAGTACGGTAATGTCAAACAAACACACAAATACCAATATATATACTACTCTTATTTCAAATATGAATATTTATTTATATATAAATTTAGATTTTTGGTGTATATATTTTTAGTCTCATTTCCAAATAATAATAAAAGAAGGATGTTTGACCTGGCAAATTCATTAAAAAAGAGGTCGAGAACATCTACAATGAAGTTAACAGATGATTTAACAAGTGAAGCATATTATAGCAGACGCCAAGATATCCATACACCTTTACAAAAGAGCTTACCCTTAACGTTACATCCTCGCGAGGCAAAGAATACAAGACAAATAGACTATCGATTTTTTGAAAGTAAAGCCGCAGATACTAGACCTCCAAGTCCACGTGCTGACATTGTAACGACGGAAAGTCGGGTGCATACATTTGTGAACAACGGTTGGCATTTCCCTAGATTGTATCCTTTACAAAAGAGCTTACCCTTAACGTTACATCCTCGCGAGGCAAAGAATACAAGACAAATAGACTATCGATTTTTTGAATGTAAAGCCGCAGATACTAGACCTCCAAGTCCACGTGCTGACATTGTAACGACGGTAAGTCGGGTGCATACATTTGTGAACAACGGTTGGCATTTCCCTAGATTGTATCCTTTACAAAAGAGCTTACCCTTAACGTTACATCCTCGCGAGGCAAAGAATACAAGACAAATAGACTATCGATCATTTGAAAGTAAAGCCGCAGATACTAGACCTCCAAGTCCACGTGCTGACATTGTAACGACGGAAAGTCGGGTGCATACATTTGTGAACAACGGTTGGCATTTTCCTAGAGTGTATCCTTTACATCTTGCTGCTGCTGGATTTTACTACAGAGGAAACGGAACAGAAATTCACTGTCATAAATGCAACCTAAAAACAGATGTTTTAACATGGGCTGAAAATGAAAAAGCAGAATTTGCCCATGCCAGACTTGCAAAAGACTGTCAATTTGTAATCGATAACGGATATAATCTGAAGTTAACACAACAATCAAAAGATTACTACAGAACAGCAACAACAGCAAGTAACAGCAAAGTTAACAGTAACATAGTTTTATCAAATAATAAAAACCATGTATTAGACGAAACTCTTACCAATTTATCATCTGGAGACAAAAAAACAAAGACTAGGCAAACAATAACCAGTGGACATTTAGATTGCAGTGAGCAAAACAAGCATTCCTTTGTTCAAGAAAGGCAAACAAATCAATCTCCGTGTAAGCCTTTTGATATAATGTCCGATGGATTCATTGGATTGACTATTGACAAAAATACAGAAGACACCCAACCATCTACTACGGATCACCATAATGGGGACATTAAAGAAAAAATAACGACAGGTCTGAACGATGCATTTACAGCAATGGATGCAATGAACAGTCAGATAACACAAGATGGACTTCAATCGTATCAACAAGAATTTAAATACCCTCAATATCAATCACAAGATGCCAGATATAGATCCTTTGCTACATGGAGGTTTACACACAAGCAAACACCAATAAAGCTGTCGGAAGCCGGATATTTCTACACAGGTAACAATACAGTCAATAACGTCTGTAAAATAATGTATGACAATATCGTTCGGATAATTCGTTTTGATGTCATAGCTGATTATATGGCTTCCCTATGATCTATAAGCATGCTTGACTCAACAGTGGTGCACAATTCAAAACAGGAAGAAACCCAAATAAAGTATGCAGTAAGAGAGCATTAACAAAAAAAACCAGAAATGTTTAACTAATATGTGATTATATGGCTATTGCCGTCTATGTACAGGGGCTGACAAAACTTCATATTTCAAAAGTTAAAGCTTATGATTAGTAAAATAAAACCGTATTAATCAATTTTTTGCAAGCAAGGTAGTGTTTTCTACATGTCTCGATGAAGCATTTACGGTATATTCGAAAATAATATGATATAATTTGAAGCCTAACTACCTTTCCTTGCAATTAAAACTATTCCTGTATTTTCTATACATGTAATGTTTTTGTAAACAATGTTGATTGCACTACCGGTCGGGAATTTTGCGCTGTTGGCCTCGAATGAATACACTTTACCTTTTTGTTGAATTATCTCAGTAATGTTTTTGAATGTTACTAATTTTTTTTTATGTTACATTGAATACTTTTAAATTACATCCATATATTACATTTAAACGTGTAACTTCTTGTTTAGGGGAAAATGACATAGTACGATGTTTTTGTTGCGATCTCGGTTTGGCTGAATGGGACCCAAAGGACAATCCATGGACAGAACATGCCAGACATAATCCAAAGTGTTGGTTTTTGTTATCTGAAAAAGGAGAACAATTTATCGAAAATATTCAGCAAGATTGGAAAAAGGCTAGTATATGAAATATTCATCCTAATTAAGGGGTAGGATAGAAGTACAATCAAGATATATCGTGGTGATATCGTGGTGATATCTGGGTTCTTTTTACACGCATATCAAAATATTGTTTTACTATTTACCTCCATTTTGGCATTTTTGGAAACATTTAGAATTTTCGAATATTTAATTTTTCAAGAGAAATATCGTTACATTTTAACAAAAAAGAAAGATTATCGCCCATGTTGAACTTCCCATTTCTACAAAAACAAATGCCAGCTTCACCAGCATATACAGTTTATTTGCCAAATTGAAACGATATTCCAGTGATTGTCTCTCATATCAACATTTACCGGAAAGAGTGATTCTGCTTTTTATGAAGTTATGTAGCGTTGGAATGATTAACGTATCAGCAATTCAGTCCATTTTCTTCATTGTGACATCACTAATCACACGAAATTACATGACATATGCAAAACGAGTTCAACTAGTGAAGTAGAAGCCGCTTACACTTCCAAAATAAAAAGATTTGGTATTGTTGTCAACCATCCATAAAGAACAAATGACAAAGATGTGAAGAATTAAAAAAAATAGCAAACAAACAAATAATTATTGTATTCGCCAATCACATCGCCAAGAATGAGCGGTATGATGAAAACATTATACTTTTCAAACACAATTAATTTAATATTTTATTTGTCTTACCACTTGTATAACATTAAACATGCACATACATATATAAAACATAGCGTAAATTACAACTGACAGTGAATAAACTCATCATAGATACCAGGACTAAAATTTAGTACGCCAGACGCGCGTTTCGTCTTTAAAAGACTCGTCAGTGACGCTCGAATCAAAACGTTAAAAAGACCAAATAAAGTACGAAGTAGAAGAGCATTGAGGACCCAATATTCCGAAAATTTTTGCCAAATACAGCTTACTTAAAGGTATTCTATTTCTGGGGTAGAAAAATCCTTAGTTTTTCGAAAAATTCAAAGTTTTGTTACCAGTTAATTTTAAATCATCACCATTTCAACGATAATTCATGTCAACACAGAAATGCTGACTACTGGGCTGGTGATATCATCGGGGAGAAACCTTCACCAGGAGAGGCATCGACTTAGTGGTTGTTAATAAACTCATCATAGATATGTGTACCAGGGTTAAAATTTAGTTCGCCAGAGGCGCGTTTCGTCTACAATAGACTCACAAGTGACACTCGAATCAAAAAAGTTAATAAGGCCAAACAAAGTACGAAGTTGAAGAGCACTGAGGGCCCGAAATTCCGAAAGATTTTTCTAAATACAGCTTAGTTAAATATCATTAATTCTTCCTTCACATACGCGCATTATTCTTACGAGTCCTTACGGCAATTCTTAGACAGCCGCAATCATCAAATAACTCGCTGGTATCCGTAAATAATTCGTCACAACTCGCAGACACTCTTAAGGATCCGTGAAAGGAGAGGCAAATTATTTAACATGTCAAAAATCTTCTTACGCATGTTCACTGATTGATTTTTTCATAAATAACTCGTAACAATCCGTGAGTATCGCAAACCGCTCTCAACAATACGTAACAATCCGTAAACTGCTCGCAAGAATCCGAAAATGACTCGTTGCAATTTTTTTTAACGATTTGTTACGGTTTGTTTACGATAAGTTTGCGGATTATTTCGAGAGGTGACGTTTTGGTTACGATTTTATTCTGGTCGTGTTTCGATGGCTTTACGGATTGTTACGAGTTATTACGAGCACGTAATGGGTAGTTATGAGTATTTTATGAATAGATACGTTTACTTTACGTTTTCTTATGTATTGTTTACGATTTGGAAAAAGTTATAAAAATGTAAAATCGTAAGGACTCGTAAGGACTCGTAAATACTCATAACTAACTAAAATAGTATTTGAAATGTGAACTATTTTTTCAATATTTGATCATGTTTAATAAAATTTTTAACATTTAGGGGAAAGCGACCTAGTTCATCATATATTGCAAAATTTTTAGCGTGCTTACTTATTTCTTCTGCAAACCTACAGAATTTGAGATGTACTTTCTCAATTTTTGAATATTCACACAGTGTAAAGAAATAGTTCAGGTCATCTTCTGTGTACAACCGCAATACCACATTTATGAACCATATGATAATTCGGGTTTTACTGTGTGATGGAAAATGTGCTATGGTGTGGAAATATTTGGTTTAAGAATTGAATGCTTCTGTTTGTTTTATTGGGGTGTAAAAGCGTTGACCGAAGTACATTCTAAAAATGTGCGCACGGTCAACGCTTTTACAACCCTATAAAATTACTAAAAGAAGCATTCAATACTTATAATTACATTTTTTGCTAGGATAATGAAAACACGATTTATATCAAGTTTTTATTTTATTTACCTGTGCACTTTATTGTGGAAGCTCGTGTCATCATGAATGTTGCAATTCATTTAAAATTTTGAAATGAAGGTTAATTTCAGAATGACGCGAGACTGCAGTTATCCAATCAAAATAACGTATTATAATGAAACATACATGTAATGTTATTTAAAATTAGCAAACATATTTAGTCGAGTAATTAGTATATTCAAAGAAAGCTTTTAAACATGTTTATACCACACGAATTTGGCTGTGCATCTTTAATACGACCATATATAATAAACGCTATATTTTCGTTTTCTTAGATATACTTTAAAACCCAAATTTCTACAATAGATTTCTAACTTATTTAATGCATTATGTCTTGAATCAAAGAGTAGTAAAAGATTGTCAGCTAAAAAAAGGCAATTTAGTTAAATATTTGATATCAATGCTGGGTCACAGAAATGTCGTGTAATTAATATTTAAAATCAAATATAAAAGAATAAATAAACTCGGGTCAAAGGATTCCCTGATAGTGCAAAATAAATTATCTTAAAATAATTTATCTAAATCATGTGTTTAGCAGTATTTAATTCCCTAAACTATTCTTCTGCTGGTACATGTACATTGTGTGGTGAAAGTTCCCACGAATCTCCACCATCACTTAAAATGTAATTATGCAGAAGTTTCAAATGAGCTTTTGGATCATTGTCTTTAAAACAGTCAAGCTAATTTACAAGATAATGCCTATAGAGTCGTATCTTTGTTTTCCTAGCTTTTCTGTAATGCTTTTGAGTAAGATGATCTTATATACTGTGGATTCGTTATTATTTGTTGGGTACCAATTTCGTGGATTTCGTTGGTACAAGTAAACCACGAATTTAAATGTTAACTGAACTACACATTTTTTTATAAGGTTGTATGTAGACTTTGGCAAATCCACAAAATTAAATATCCATGAAAATGTAAGTTTTTCTCAATCCACGAAAATTGGTAACCACGAAAATAAATGAATCCACAGTATGGATCTTTATTGAATTTTTAAATATTTTTTTTCTTTTTGTGATAGGTCAGAACAGCTAGTAGCAAAAAACATAGTTAATATTAAGCTATACTGTGCCCATTAAATAAACATTTTTATTTCTAACACAGATTTATAATCCTAAACACGCTGCATTTGACGACAAAGAATCACGTAAAGCAACATTTGATGGTTGGAGAATAGACATAGAACAGACACCAGAGATTTTAGCGGATGCAGGATTCTTCTATACAGGCATGTTCTTCATTGATTTTATGCTAAACAAAACTTTATATCCAATCTTACAATTTAAACATTTTCATCGTTTGTGCCCATGTCTCCTTGTAAACCCTACTTGTAACAGTTTACGTTACAGGAAAACTATATGGACGTCAACTTATTAACTACAACTAGAACCTTCCGCTATGTATGCATTCAATTCACACGAAACCAAAATGATACCAAACAGGCAACTTTGAAAGCCTGAACCATAAAGTAGTATATTGATTTGCAGTATCGAATAGGTCATTGTATAACACAGAAAAAGCAAAGCAAACCCAAATATTCCTAACAATCGAGTAAAAAAACCGAAAATAAAACGGAAACAAACCAGATACCTTTAGCTTGCAGGTTTAGAATCTTCCACTATTCTTACATCCTCAACTCCACAAGCAATTAAAACGATAAAAGAGGTATTTTTGTCAAAATTAAAAACTGAACATATGGCTAAAGTATATACTAGAAATAGAAGAAACTGATACTGCTTCAGAATCAGTTAATTCATGACGCCAACAGATTAACGTGTAAAGCACAATTTTATGAAGAAACCATTTAAAAACATTTAAGAAGACCAAAACGTTCATGTCGGATTTGCGTCAAAGGAGGGGTAACGCAAAGACCCCTTTTTAGCCCTTGAATTCGAACATAAAAAAGCTTAAAAATCAACCAAATACATTCTTTAGATGCATATAAGACTTAAGTGTGTCGATATGAGCATAAATATTATTGAATTTTGTGTAAGACGTTTTCATCAGAGCTTGAAACTTCTTGCATTTAGTGCAAAGCTGCAAAAACTTTTCAACATAGTTTTAAATTAGAGATTTTTGCGTTGATATTTAGATATGAGCCAAGACTTTAACCCCCCAAAAAAAGCTTTTTTGTTACAAGATAAATTTTACGTATATATGTTAATGTACGTAAAACATTTCTTGGGTAAAGCCTTGACTTATATCTATTTTGTCCCAAAACTATGTCGAAATGAAAAAAAAACATGTCTGGTACAAAAAGTTAGTCGATTCAATAATTTTACGTGAAAAGATTTGCACTGATTTGGTCATCAAAAACCTCAAATTCAAGCTTAGATATGAAAAATCTATTAAATATATGCCATAAAACATTACTCTTCAGATGTATTATCTTCTAAAATGTAAGTGGCCGCATCCGTGTTCAGTCTCAAGCTTTATATATGTTATGTATTATCATCCAATGCAACATATATCTAAATATTAAGACTAGACAGAAGTGCGGCTACTTGCGACAAAACACCGTCTAAAAATTAGCACGATTATTGCTAAAATTGTGAATATTTCAGTAATTTTGCATGAATTGATATACTGATGCTAGAACCTGGTGCATGTCCATTTTATTGTCCATATTTATGTAACAATAGTATTCTACTTTTCAGTAAATCGGTAAAGCTTATATTTTAAACACGTTTGTAAAAACGCTATATTTTGGGGTCAAAAATGGATCTTACCGGGTCTACTCCTTTCTTGTGTCCTATGCGATCTTATTTATTTATTTTTCGTGCGTCCTTTGCGCTCTCCCCAGTAACGCTCAAATCCAAACATTTGAAAGCCATTGATATTATATACATAGAAATTTCAGGAGCTTTAATGACTAAAATGGACCTAAAGAGAATAGCCAAACATAACTTAGGTTTAACATTTTCCTGAGGAAGTTCGAACCTTAATTTTCTTTTAATAATTTCTCAATTTTTATCTGAGAATGAGAAAAGAATGTTATGAATTATATATCAATACGTAAGCACTAACTACTGAGTTGATGATGCATTCGGGGAATAACATCCACCTGCAGAGGTGACGACACAGGGCTAATAAATGAAATGCAATTTATTTGCGTCCAAAGCGATATTCTGGATTTACTTGCATCAAGAACGCTCATACTTAAGCACTTGAATGCCAGGAATAATTAATACATTAAAATGTCAGGAGATTTATGACCTAAATAGACATGAAGATCTGGTCAACTTCATCTTAGGTCAGCTTTGCCTGAGGAAGTTTTTTTTTATAATTTATCAACAGTGTACATGTATGTATACCGCTTATCCTTTCTCAATCATAAACGATACTCTCTCAAATATGTCAACTTTATGGCAAGCCGTAATTTACTATTTATTCTAACATCAAGATATCTCATATGATATATAAGATATCTCATATAGTATATAAGATATCTCATATGATATATAAGATATCTTATATTATCTAGTTTTTATGAGCTAGCTTATATATTATATAAGATATCTTGTATATTATATATGATATTTCATATAGTGTATAAGATATCTTATAAAGAATATAAGATATTATAAAAATATTTTGTACACAAGATTTCTTATGTACTTTATACGATATCTCATATAGTTTATAAGATATCTTATATAATTAATGTGCAGAAAGTAGAAAAGTTGGAAGTATAATAAGAAACATTATTTGGCCCATGCAATTTTGATATTTAGAATTGGATAATTTTACTATTTTAAGAATTGCATGGGCCTAATTAAATAACAACAACAACAACAACAACAACAATACTTTATTTTAAGAGGGTTACACATTTAGCTATATAACTAATCTTCCCTGAGGCCCTCATCATAAAAAATCAAACAAAATGCAAACATATACATTGCATACATTAGTATAAAAAGACAAGTATGATAAAAATGTTCAATACAACTTGATAAAATGTTATGAAAAAATAAACGTGATGACATAATTAGTTTTCAATATTTTTTATACAGCTAGGTTGATTTCAATAAATGATCTATTATTTTGTCTTTGAAAGAATTAACATTTGTAATATTTCTTAACGGTATTGGCAAATTATTCCACAAGAATGGTCCAGAATACATAAAATATTTTTTGAACAATTCTGTTCTTGGTTAAGGGAGTATGAGGTTTCCTTGAATAGCATTTCTCAAGGGGTATGGATTTCTGTCTGAAACATAATGAAACTTGTTAGTAAGATATGATGGTGCGTCATTTTATAGCACTTATGACTTGTGATATTTTATTCTCTGTTCAACTGTCATCCAGTTTAAGTGATTGAATAAGGGCTCGGAAGGAGCGAAAGGGTCTGTTTCTAGTATTAATCTAGCAGCTCTCTTTTGTAATTTTAATATCCTTTTTAAAAATAAATACCTCCAATTTTTCTACTTTCAACACGCAAGCACTAAAATCGAGTTCTTTATTAGTCCCCTACCGACGAAGTCGAAGAGGACTTTAGGTTTGCACTCCGTCCGTCCGTCCGTCCGTCCGTCCGTCCGTCCGTCCGTCCGTCTGTCTGTCAGTCCGGCAAATCAGTTTTCCAGACTTTTTTTCTTGTGCTTGAATATATTGATTTGATATTTGGTTTATTGATTTATCATGACAAGTTACAGGTCAAGTTCAATTTTCACGATTTTAGCTTTTATCTTTGTTCCGTTAAAGCCCTTTCCTTAGAATTCAATTGTTGATGAAATTCTTATTAATTAGTAGATTTCTGTTCAAAAGGAAATAACTCATTTTTTAAAAGACTTTTAAAAGACAAAATGACATTTTGGATTTTTTCCCTTTTCTTTGGTAAATTGTTTGAAGAATTTAGTGGTAGGTTTGTTTGTCATTCTTGAAGATATTGATTTGATAATTAGTATATAGTTTTATCATGACAAGTTACAGATCAAGTTGGAATTTTGTTCCAGTCTGATAATTTTGTGCAGAGTTATGGTCTTTGGGCATAGAAAATTCACTTAAATAATCAGTTTTCAACATTTTTTTCGTCATGTTTGAAGATTTTGACTTGATATTTTTATGTAGTTTACACCATGACAAGTTATAGATCAAGTTAGAATTTCGTTCCATTTCAATGAATTTGTAACCGGTAGGGGACTATGTATTGCCATGCAATACTCACAGAATGCTTGTTATAGCAGGAACCTTTCCGAAGCATCTAAGTTTACCCAGGTATTTGTGAGATTCTTGGTCAATCTTTAGTTTTGAGAACTTACGTATCACTTTTTTTGTATTTATGGTTTTGTCTTTCTATGGTATATTGTATGCCAAAGATTCTTGCAGATGGTATGGTTGACTTAACAATTGAAAGTTACCTTAACCGAAACAGAATAATTGCACCTGTCATGTGGTTGTCGTTGTGCGCTGTCCATTGTCGTCTATTCCGATGTCCTTATCTGTATTTACATTCATTATAAACACTCAAGCAAAAAAGAAAAGTCATGGATGTATAATTGAATAAGTGAGGAGTATGATCTAGATAAAGAAGACACAACTTTTTTTCTCTGTCGTTTCTTTATCAAAGTAAGATGTCACATGATTTCCAATAAGACAACTATCCACCAGAGGCCAATGTGCAAACGTCGACAGCTTTCACACAAGCAAAAAACCCAGCTGTTATATATAAAGGCAAACACAGACTACAAGCACGGTACATATTTTACTGCACCAAAAAAGCATGAACAACAAACCTGCAGACAATCAAGTGGGACCATAAACTCCACGGCCATACTCTGGTGCATGAAACATCAACTAAATACCTAGGCTGCACCATTGCAAATGATCTAGATTGGGGAGAACATATTAACAACATCACAGGAAAAGCCAGCCGAAGCCTTGGTTTCTTACATCGAAACCTCCACATTAGCTCAAAATCCATCAAAGAGCATGCCTATAAAATATTAGTAAGACCGCAAATGGAATACGCCACGACTATATGGGACCCATACCAGCAAAACCACATATATAAAATTGTAAGGTACAAAGACGAGCTGCACGATATGTAACCAGCAGACATAGAAATAGATCAAGTGTCAGCACCATGATAACTGAACTAGGATCGAAAAGCTTACAAACAAGACGAAAAGAAGCTCGACTCATCATGTGTTACAAAATAACAAACGACCTTGTAGCCATAGACAAGAATAAATATCTACAAAAACCAACAAGAAGCTCAAACCGGACAGGACAACATACTTACCTATCACAGCCAGCCACCAAAGACTGTAGGAAATGGTCTTTCTTCATAAACACCGTCAAGGATTGGAACAAACTGCCACCAGATATCGCCACAGCAAAGTCTCTTGAGATATTCAAGTCTCAAGTGACCAAAACCACAACTAAATCAACAGAACAATTTGTTTTCATCCTGTTTTTAACCTGTTTTAATCATACGCAACTTACCAGAATATTCATCATGTTGAATGTGTGCTGTATTTGGAAGAAGAAGAAGAAGAAGAAGAAGAAGAAGAAGAAGAAGAAGAATTAATATAAAACAAGAAAATGTAAATCCACACACAACTTTTTTTACTGGAATTCATATAATGAAAGTACTCATAAAAAAGGATAACTGCGTCACTGGACAGTATCAATATTTCTTAAAGTGCCATTGCAGGATTTGTTAATACTTGTCTTCTTGTCTCCATTATGGTGTATATAAATTTCGCTGCATACATTAGAAGAACAGAAACAAACAATGGAGAATCAATTGTTGAAACAAAGGACAGATGGTTATAAAAAAAAGTTAATCAGTTAGATATATTCATTTTTCTTTACTATTTTACTAAAACGATATGACAATGGTCGTATTTAAAATACAATGCAAGTCCCGTGGAAACTATTATGCTTATTGTAATGTTATATTGTAAAGTATACACGACTTAATACAATTTTTCAATGTTTTATGATTTTCACTCTATTTAATGCAGGTGAAGAAGACACTGTACGCTGTCATTATTGTGACGGGGGACTACGTAATTGGGAACCAGGAGACGTCCCATGGGAGGAGCATGCGCGATGGTTTCCATTCTGTAAATTTGTCATCAAAATGAAAGGTCGAGAGTTTATAGAGTACATCAAACGTAAATCTGAGGTATGTCGTTATTTACACAAGTCATTTATTTAATGTATGGAATATAGGGTAGCATTCATGATACAAATCACATAATCATGTTAGGAATACACAATGCATTCTTATCCTTTATTTTCTAATTTTCAATGCTTTCTGTCTCTGGATCCAACATCAACCTTTAATCAGAAGTCACAGTTAATGATGTAAGGTAAATATTAGTATCGGTCACTCATTTGTAGAAACATTCTTCCGTCACATATATTGCGGCTATAAGAGGAATGTGAGAATCTTATCACCTACGCATGTATAAGATGCAGTTATGTTAATGTGAAGTTATTTTCGTAAAATTGACAACCTAATATCTGTCAGTATGCATATGATGTTAAGAAACTGTCTAATTTTTTCAACAATATTTAAAGGAAAAGCAAAGACTTGAAAACTCAACCTCTACCAGTTCTTCGTCTGGATTACCAGGTATATATATAAAGCAAATTTGATTGTATGGAATATGTCACCATAGCGATACTGACTCTGGTTTGCTGTTTCCGGTGTCGAAAGTTGTAAATTATAAGAGATAGAAGGTACCAAAAGTGACAATCATCTGTCATATGTTCAATAAAAAAGAGAGGAGCATGGCATGAAATAAAAACGACATAAATACAAACAACATTAAAAGAACATTATTAGATTGAGCTACAGGAACCCCAACAAGAACCGGGGGATGACCTGAGATTCGAATGGTTGGCAGTGCGTGGCAATTACATTGTATTAAAGTTAAAAAAAACAAAAGTATGTTGTTTTTAAAGGATCAACTTACGATAAGTCAATGAGGTTTGGTATACAATTGTATTAACATTGACAAATCTCATTCCTTGTGATATTATATGAAGTGATGGTCGATGGAATTTTAAAGTTTTGTATGTTGAAATGTAAATCTTGTGATTTTGTCAATTTAGGGGTTTATTAATTCTAATTAAGTTATCATTTTAATCAGCATTTGCACATCTCATTTCCATAGCGATTACTTCCGTCCTTATTCATGTTCCATTAACTTTGAAAGTAATGAATCATTACATGTAACATGTATAAATTAGTGTTGAGGTTAGTTAAAAGGAAATCGCTAATCAAATTAGATGAATACGTTTGGCATGAAATGAAAACGACGAAAAAGCAAACAAAAGTAACATAACTTTAGTTAGAAAAATAAAAAAAAAGTGCTACACGAACCCTAACAAAAACTTGGTTAGGGAAGTGAATTCAGGGCAACACTTGCTAAAGTTAAGAAATACAAATCTGTGGATAGGTCATGTAAAAGGAACAACCAACGTGAAATTTACTATTTACTACAATAAGCTTTTTGTTGGCGTCTTTGTTAGATTAATTTGTATGTTTGTTTGAATTTTTTAGTCAGTTGTGTTGTTTGTCAGTTATGTATTTTTACACAGTTTCAGCTGCTTGATCCCGGTATTTTTGTTTTACGTTTTGACGATAAGTCGATGAGATTTTGTATGGTGTTGTTTTAACATTGAATTATCTCATATAACTAGCTCCGTCAGTCATGGTCAATGGAATTTAAAATATTTTCATATAACATGTAATAAACACTTTTTTGTTGGTTTTCATCTCCAAATCGCACAAACAGAATGATAAAAGCATACTGCATGTTTCTGATGGCTCCTTGGACCGATTTCATCGACATTATTTGCCTGACGGTAATAATAAAATTGAGAATGGAAATGGGGAATATGTCAAAGAGACAACAACCCGACCAAAGAGCAGACAACAGCCGAAGGCCACCAATGGGTCTTCAACGCAGCGAGAAAATCCCGCACCCGGAGGTGGTCCTCAGCTGGCCCCTAAATAAAATTGTGTACTAGTTCAGTGAAAATGGACATCACACTAAACTCCAAAACATATAAATGAACTGAAATTAAAAAAAACATACAAGACTAACAAAGGCCAGAGGCTCCTGACTTGGGACAGGCGCAAAAAGGCGGCGGGGTTAAACATGTTTTGTGAGATCTCAACCCTCCCCCTATACCTCTAGCCAATGTAGAATAAAGAAACACATAGCAATACGCACAGTAAAACTCAGTTCAAAAGAAGTCCGAGTCCGATGTCAGAATAGGTAACAAAAGGAACTAAGCAAAATGACAATGATACATAAAGAAGAACATAACCCGTATCATGCCAATAACTGGTTTTAGAATAAATGTGTTTATTTCCGATGCAAAGACCCTATGAGTGAATCAATATTAATACCAAAATATGCAATCCTTAATGACTTTCCGAATAAGTCTGTTTAAAGGTTTGGTTAGCTTTTGAGGTGAATGCCGACATTTTTGTGCTTTGTGAAGAATATTACCATAAAATATTGGATGTGAAATACCCGAACGTATAAGATGTCTGAATGTTGATTTATATTTACGAATGATGGATGAATGGTGGATAATAATCCTATTTTTACACATAACAGAGACAGGATGAACAAGAAATCTAACAAATGTGATCAAATGTTGTTGGGGTTAACTAACTTATTATGAATAATGCTGACTATGCTAAGAAATAATATTTTTTACCGCGAAATACATGTACTTAAATATGTGTAATGAATATAATAAATGTGTGATTCAACATTTTGTAGACGATATCAGAGACTCTCCGGTTGTAAAACAATTGAAGACACTAGAAATAGATGAGGAAAATATCAGATATGCCGTAACAGAATTCAGAAAAAGAAAAGGTTGTTTTAGACAATATGAATATATTTTGTACAGTTTTTAACTTGACTGTTATGAAATGTAATTGAAGTACATGAACACATATAACAGACATAGTTCTGTCTCTACTAAAAGGATAATTTAACCATAAAACTATACTATCTCTTTAAGATGACCGTATCAAAAACATTAAATAGCATCATCAAATAAAGTTCATTTGAACAATATTGCACGGTGTTCCCAATAAACAAAAGAACACTGATATCTAACAAAACATGAATGATGTAAGTATATAAAAATGAAATATTTTTCAGTAGTTTATTTTATATGTTAAAGGTCACAGCAACTTTACCACTGAAGCCCTAACAGAATTGATATTTAACAGGAATGATCAGCAACAAATCAACAGTCCATTTGCAGGTATGTTAACTAACAAAACGTCAAAATTTGTTTTCATATATAAACATTCCTAAAGTCAAATGTTTACAAATACAAAATACAAAAACACGACACCATGAAATTATAACATTTCTTAACACAAAAAAACTTTACAAGGTTGTGTTTGTCAAATCCCTTCTTCCCAATCTCAACAAAAGATAATCTTACCATTGTGTTTAAATACCGAAATTACATAGTATTACTATCGAATTAGTTCTTTTCACTTAATTATACTTTATTTTCTGTAAATCATAAACGAATATACATACGTTTCGAAAATATGCATACTTTTGTGATATAAATTCTATATACTCCTTATAATTGGGACTATCATTTATTGATAAGGTTTCGGGTATTAGTTCACTAGAGAAATGGTAACATGTTTACTGACTGTTGATTGATATTTGTTTTTATACGACCGCAAAATTGTTGCGGTCGTATAATGATACGTAAAATTGAGAATGGAAATGGTGAATGTGTCAAAGAGACAACAACCCGACCATAGAGCAGACAACAGCCGAAGGCCACCAATGGGTCTTCAATGCAGCGAGAAACTCCCCAACCCGGAGGCGTCCTTCAGCTGGCTCCTAAACAAATATGTATACTAGTTCAGTGATAATGGACGTCATACATTGTTGTCACCGTCGTCGTCGTCCGAAGACATTTGGTTTTCAGACAACTACTTGAGTATACATGTATGGAAATTGTACCACAAGGTTCCATACCACACACGGAAGGCTGGGATTTATTTTGGGGGTTATTGTCCTCATTGTTTAGGAATAAGGGGCCAAAAGAGGACAAAAGCAAGCATTTTGTTTTGTATGGATCTCTATCAAATTGTACAACAAGGTTCCATACCTCAAAAGAAAGGTTGGGATTGATTTTGGGGGTTATTGCCCAAACTATTTAGGAATTAGGAGCCAAAAAGGGTTAAAAAAAAAGAATTCTCTGGTTTCCGGCCAATAACACCCGTATAAGTATATGGATCTCTATGAAATTGTACAAGGTTTAATACCAAAAAAGGAAGATTGGGAATAATTTTGAGGGTTATGGCCCCCACCCGTAAGGAAAAAAGGGACAAAAAACAATTCTTTTCTTATACTCTGTATACATTGCTTATTTTTGACCAATTTTAATGGGGTTTATTCAAAGTCTTGAATTCTTAGGGTTCTTTGATATGCCGAATCTAACCGTGAAATAAGATTTTGGATTTTTGGCCAAAAATTAAACTTTGTTTGATTTCATCAAAAATTGAATTATTGGGGAATTTAACCGTGAAATAAGATTTTGGATTTTGGGTCCAAAATTAAACTTTGTTTGATTTCATCAAAAATTGAATTATTGGGGTTCTTTATTTGATATGTTGAATCTAACCGTTTATTTGGATTTTTGATTTTTAGCCCGGTTTTCAAATTGGTCCATAGGGTCTAAAATTAAACTTAGTTTGATTTTAACAATAATTGAATTATTGGTGTTCTTTAATATTCTGAATCTAAACATGCTTTTAGATTTTTGATTTTGGGCCCAGAAGTTGGTCCAGATCGGGTTCCAAAATTAAAATAAATGTTTGATTTCAACAAAAATTTAATATATGGGGTTCTTTGATATGCTGAACCTAACCGTGTATTTAGTTTCTGGATTTTGGGACCCGCTATCAAATTGGTGCACATTGAGGTCCAAAGGGTCCAAAATTAAAATTTGTTGTTTGATTTCCTCAAAAATTTTATTCTTGGGGTTCTTTAATATGCTGAATCTAACCACGTATTTAGATTTTGGATATTGGACCATAATAGGTAAACGTCCAATTTCAAAAATTTTCAAGATTTTAGACCACATTCATTTTGTGTCAGAAACCTATGCTGTGTCAAATATTATATCAGAATCCAAATCCAGAGCTGTATCAAGCTTGAAGCTTGAATGTTGTGTCCATACTTGCCCCAACTGTTCAGGATTTGACCTCTGCGGTCGTATCAAGCTGCGGCCTACGGAGCATTTTATATTTTGTGGTTTAAAGTAAACTATATTCTCAAAATGCGCACTTTTCTCATATTGGAGGAGACACAAAATTGCTATCGACAATATTTTTCATTCATCCTTTATATAGATAACTGTATTCGTCTGAACAGTATACAACAGCACCAAAATAAATAAAAAAGTATAAAATAATAAAAACAAACGGCAATGAATATTTAGGGTAACATATTGTCTTTCATCAGTATGAACTGTTTGGTGTTATTTGGTGTCTGCTTTTTGTATTATACTTTTGATATCCCGTTTTTATATGATCTTAAAAGTTAAAATAAGATATGTTTGTCAATAATGACAATTCAACGTTCGAACACCGATACAAATCACTTGTATAATCGGAACTTCTAAATGAATGTATCCAGTTTATTGAGATGTAACATTGATATATTTGATTTATCTATGACAGCAAAGAACTTTGTTGAAACAGAAAAACCAGAGGAACAAGGTAAGCTCATATCATAACAACTGAAGTATAGCTGTTCAAATTACGAAACACGCAAACCTTCTGACAGTTGAAGTTTAAATCAGTCGTCATCCTTTTATGCCCCGTCCTTCCGTCCGTCTCATTTTCGTTTCCTCACTCTAACTTAAGTTTTCTTTATCTAATTATATAAATTTTATGAAACTCATTCACAATGCCAGGAACTAAAACTTGCAGACAAGTTCGAATTCGGACAGTGAGTCACTTACTGTTCAAGAGTTATGCCCCTTACCGTTCTAGAGTTATGTCCCTTTATAACTTGGAAAATTGCAATTGTTTTCGTATCCGCACTCTAATAATGGTATAAAAACGAAGTTAGAATGCATGGGTAAGATATAATAGTTTCTTTGATTTTTTACTTAATATTAACTACTTTTCATTTAAGGTCAATGTAATAAAAAGGATTGCTAAATCAAGAATCAAATATCGAAAACAATTCAATTCGTTACCGAACAACAATGATGATTCACCATGGATAGAAAATTTAATGTATTATTCGGTAACTTTTTGAATATATTTTGAAATTGAAGTTTTGGATTTAATATTCTTTAAGTATATGTACGTTGTCTCCTGTAGACACAATCCATACCGTGTTTTCTCAAATCCTTCAATTTTAAGGTCTGATTTTAAATATCAATCTGATATGATGACGGATTAGGGGGAAATGCGTTGATTTCTTTTGTTGCATTCAAACGTCATGAGATGAAGAATCATTCAAAATAAAAGACAACCAAACAGATAATGACATAACACCGAATCATAATGGTCGACGGGAATTAGTATTCGATCTGCAATACGTTGTACTTTACCCTTTAAAGCAGTTTCAAAGTCAATGAGTCAGGAAGTATAAAGTAATACTAACTATGCGGTATGGGTTTTACCCATTGTTGAAGGCCGTACGGTGACCTATAGTTGTTAATTTCTGTATCTTTCGGTCTCTTGTGGAGAGTTGTCTCATTGGCAATCAAACCACATCTTCTAATGAACCTGGTAGATCTGTCAAATTTCTTTCAAATTTTACTATTCTGATCATCATCTTTAGGATATAATTTTTTTTATGGGGACAATACAGATGATAATAAGAGCATCATCGGATGTAAAATTTTGATTTATTTGAATGTAGATGTAGCTATCTTTCCCGCAAAAAAATGAATTGCCAACGCTTTTCTCGACGTTTCACTTTTTAACTTGTACCTGATTCCTTAACAAAAAAATGAGTACACGACTTTAATATAAAAATAAGAAGATGCGATATAATTGTAAATGAGACAACTTTCCACCAGAGACCAATTGGCATAGAAGTTAACAACTATATGTTACCGTAAGGCATTCAACAATGAGCAAAACCAATACATCATAGTAAGCTATAAAAGGCTTGGAAATGACAAATGTAAAACAACTCAAACGAGAAAACTAATGGCCTGATTTTTGTCGAGCCTGCGACTTTTGTCGCAAAAGCAAGATATAGCGATCCTACAATCCGTCGTCGGCGTCGTCGTCGTCGTCGGCGGCGTCCACAAATATTCACTCTGTGGTTAAAGTTTTGAAATTTTAATAACTTTCTTAAACTATCCTGGATTTGTACCAAACTTGGACAGAAGCTTGTTTATGATCAAAAGCTAGTATTTAAAAGGAAATTTTGTAAAAATATATTTCCTGTTTTTCTTTATACAACTTATAAATGAACCAGTTAACATTACATACAGTCTGTAGTTACAGTTTTTGAAACATTTATTAGATTCATAAACCATTCTGGATTTTTACCAAACTTGGACAGAAGCTTCTTAAAATCAAAAGATAGTATCTATAGGAAAATTTTTAATAATTTTTTTCCGCATTTTTGTTGAGCCTGTGACTAGCAGGAAAAGTAGACGAGACACTGGGTTCCGCGGAGCCCTTACGATTTTTTTACCATATCAACAAATAAATGTGAGATATCCATAAGATCGTCAATAAATCGGTAAAGATAAACCAAATTTTAATATGTAACAAAAAAATGTTAATGTTAACCAAATGATGTATCAGAAATACGACACGGCCTTCAGACAGATGTCCTATATATATCAACACAGTCGTTTTCTTGAAACACGAAAAGTATATACTTTATCTAACAGATTTCAACATCTGCATTTTATATCATAATACACATGTTGGTATTAACTTTATTTTAATTTAGATCCTAAGAAAATAAAAGAATTGAATAGAAAACTGAAAGACAAGATGAAATGTATTCGATGTAGAACAAATGATATTTGTATGCTGTTTGTTAACTGTGGACATCGACAGACCTGTGAGGAGTGTGCTGACCTTATGGACTTCTGTCCAATTTGTGATACAAGGATAAAGAAAAGATTAAAAACTTTTTTATCGTGAAAGTACGAAGGTAATAATCCCCTTTCGTAGTTTTCGTCTCTTATTAAAAGCAATAATCGGATTACAATGTTTTACATTCGGAAGGGTTTCCTCATTTTCATACCAAAAATGATAAATATACGAAAGAAAAAATTTAATTCTATACAAATTCATTTTAATATTAAGACTATAGTGAATTACACTTTAATCAAATTAGCTTATATTTTGTGTCCAATATTCGGTTGTATCGTTGCTACATCACCAGGAGCACCTTTAGTCGTGCCTATTATTTGGACATCGAACATCACGTGACTGTTGTCTAAATAATCACGAGACATCCATAAAATATAGTGATATGTGGTAAATATTCAAAAGATGTTCATCAAACACCATAAGTGGAAGAGAGCTAATAAGAAAAAGACGAAAAACATAAATAAGTCCACAAAACAAAGAACACTACAGAACACTTTAGATTGACTAATACAAAAAAAAAATTAAAAAAAAACACAGTAATCCTAGCTGCCACTGTTGACACCCGCAGTGTAGCTACTGGTAAAATACGCCAATGATCTGGGTCCCTTGTCCCATTCTGATTGGTAAAAGTATAAGTTATGTAGTGGCAGAGAGATGGTTTATCTGCTCGATTGATTTGTTGCCATACATTGAGTATATATGAAAAAATAACCTCGTAGAGACAATGGTTATACAGTGCGTTCACTATGAATTAAGTACAGTAATGTAAAACATATTAAGACAGTGTTCTTATGGTTTCAATTGTTTAAGTGGATCATCGTTTTATATATTATATATATATATAACTAGAGGTGACGAATTAAAGTCAAAATTTTAAGACATTAATAAATATTAATAAATTTTAATTTTGTTTTGCAGATTGTAACAAAATGTGACAAAAACAACGGCTCATACAAAGATAAATCATTTAATAATATATAAAAATAAAAAGAGTTACCCCTTATGATATCAAATGCAAGAAACAGGCACATATTTCTTTTCTTATATTGTAAATCATTTTTGTAACGTTCTTCAATAGTCAATACCGCCTGCAGTTTGCTTTTAAATTTGGATCATTAATGGTATTGTCATTGTGGTTTTAAAAATTGTTAACATTATAAGTGCTATTAATCAAGTTAAAACAACATTTCCAAATGCTTACATTGCATTGTGTTATTTCGACCCAGAATTGGCAAATCTCTAAATATTCAAACGCTAAACACAGCGACATTAATCGTAAACAATTTCATGCGCAAAATGTGTAACAAAACTCCCTTTCTTGATTACATAAACTTATGGAGTGAATTTGTACATATCGGTTATCAAAATAAAACACTGTACGATAACAACGATCAAACGGGTGCGCATATCAACACAGATGGTGCACAGCAAATGAGTGATACTCTTCTAGGATATATGCAGTACTCGAGCGAAATAGTGTATCAAACTCCACGAAGCAAAACGCGTATCAAAAGCTCCAGCGCAACACCAGGATCAATAGAAAAACATTGATTGAAAGTCAATCTAAATGTATATTTATAAACAAAAAAATCGAATGTGAAAATAGAAACTTTCGTGTTTATCGTATATGTCATAACATATATTAACTGTATTGTTTTAATTATGTAGACCTAAACTATAACATTGTAATTTAGTTTGTAGCCCTTTGATTATGCTTTATGTCTTTTTGTATATAGTATCTCTAAATGTGAACGGAATGCGAGATTAAAAAAGAGAAATGCTATATTTGTATGGTGTAAAAAAAAATGATATTGTATGCCTACAAGACACACATTGTTCAACTGAAATAGAACAGTTGTGGAAACTGTAAAAACGGTCTTATAAACAGGGAAATTTCACTTTAGAAAGAAAGGAACATTCTACAGTACCAAAAGAAAAACACGACAAAACAAAAGATAGTGAAATTTATTCTTAAGGAATGTACGGAAATATTTCAAATGGGAAGCATACAAAACTATCATTTTACAAACATAGTTAATTTTCTAACTTTTAGCTAATTATACTCTTCTAATTTTTATATTCATTCACAAGATACTTACTTTTTATAGCCAATGTATAATTTCTTATTTTCTTTTTTAATGACTTATTATTTGGCTCTTAACCCGGATTGATTAATTAGTTTAATACATTTTAACTATCAACCTTACCTTAATTTATGTAATTATACATAATGTATATACTACTAACTGCACATACGATTGCATATGTCTATTATTTTACTTAAATACTCACCACTAACAGTAAATTGATTACTTTAATCATGAAGTATAAAATTTGCACTCTCTCTATCCTTGTATATTTGAACATAGTCCATCTTTTAAAAATTAATAAGATTAGAAAGAAAGAAAAAACCAATCACCTCTTACTATGATACACGTGCACGTGCTAGTTATCCATCGAACTGCGTGGTTCGTTATATTGATCTGTTGTGATTTACTCTTGAATTGTTAAGCGCCAATTGTGGACAGGATGAACCCAAATAGCTAGAAAAGTATTTTGTTCCAGCAAGTTTTCCGTTTTAAAAATTGACCTCAATACAGGTAATTCATACAAAATATATATCCCGTAGACTTCGGGTTAAAGTGCTTCTGATAATTATCAAGCAGGAAACCAAGCACTTTAAGCGAAGAGCGGGATAGGATGGAAAATCGTAATACTGAAAGTCAGCGGCCAACGTCATACATCTTGATGACTAGAGTGTTTGAGATATAAGTGCCTGGCATTAGGGATCGTGTGACAGTTGGCCGCTGATTGCACTATTTGATGTTTCATCGAGTTTACAGACATTGGAGACAACAGAAGCGAGAAGCGTATATATTGATGATATTTGAACAATGGTTAACTACTGTTGTTTTTATTCTTACTGGAAAAACAAGGCATCGTTCAAATGGAACCAATATTAAGAGTTAAAAATTCATTGAATACAAATCGACAGTGATAAATTACGTATATGTGGTTTAAAGAGGCGTCTACAAATAAGTTGTATGTAGAAACATAAGTTTCTGAAAATAACTCTGTATCTTACATTGTATTATTCTAATTCCTTTGTAACAAATGATCAACGTTTTAGTCATTATTAATGTTTAGCTTTTCACATATCAACATGCTTTAAATGGGTTATCATCTACACATTATGTATCTAATGTTACTTTGCACTATACAATAGTTAGATTTAAAGTATAATTGTATGATAAATTTGTCAATTGTGCATACTGTGTGATTCCTGTCTCTCATTTCGGATATGTACCGTTTGATTTCATACACAATTCATTTTACAATGTAAGCTAAATCTATAGGTTTCCTCAACCGTTAACTGCTGAGGTTTTTCACCACTGTATAAAAACTTGGATCAAATAATTTGAAAACCTAAAGAAATCAGTCGTTATACAAGCTGCTCTACGATGGCTTAACTAACGCATGAAGGCCTAGCCAATGAAAAATCCACAATAACTATTCGGAATTATCGGGACTTTCCTATTTCGACATAATAAATCTATCTGATAACTGGCTTTTTTTTTACCAGGGTGCACCAATCAAAATCATAGATTCGTGATGCGTTTTTATTGGTTAAAGATTTCAGGTCGTTTTTGGAGAGTCGATCATGGGAAGGAATGAATCGTTTTGGCTTATAATTTGATGGCCTATTCGTGATATCAAATACATGTTCTTTTTTTGTGTTCTAAATTTGATTACATGTACTATGCATATGTGCCATTTAGAGGGTTAGATTGATATATTATATTCATTCCTGTTTTCTTTGATATGTGTAATCTGCAAATGTCACCAGTTGCGTGATTTCTGTTATCATTATTATAATTTTATTGTCAGTAGAATTGCCTCCATTGAACGTTCAAACTCTCGCTTCTATTACATGCAATTATGATAATCTAGGGTCATATGGTCCCGGTCTGTGTTCGCGCATTTGATGTTAATTTTTGCAAAGATAGCTTGGAAAGTATAAGAACAGGTGCTCATATATTTGAGTTATTACTCATAAGTTGATAAAGATTAGTAAAATGAACTGTTTTGATATATAATTTGTTTATAAATACAAGAGAGGGTTTGAACAGTTATTGAATGAGAATTCGTTTTGTAATATATTTTCTTTCATTTTGTCACATTTAAAAAAAAATTTAAATCTTTGATAAATGTATTTTTTTAATTTGAGTATTTTTTTATGTGAAAATATACAATAAAAGCTTATTTATATAGATTTAAAATTACGTTATTAATTTTCTTTTACTCTTAGCATACCTATAGTTTTATAAATGTTGTGCTACTCACGAGTGTGTTATAATAAACAAAAAGAAAATTTTAATTTTCCTATCTTAATTTATAATACTTCATGGTTTTAACCAGGTTAATTTGCATACAGGAGTTGAAATGTTCAGATGTTCAAATCAGATAAATCCATAAAAAAGATACAAATCATTGTGGAAAAACAAAAACTGAGGGAATCACATGAACTCCAAAAGGAGCGAGACCATGTGCATCGACAGAATAAGCATCTTCTGCTATTCATGCAAAACCCGCCATGCGGATCTAATCATAATCGGTGATCACAGATGAGACGACTAGTACCTAATGATCTAAGACCGCAAAAAACAAGTTGTTGGTGAGTTGAGACACAGACACATCGTACCAGAAAACCAATTTGTGAGGTTGACCGTAAAACTTATTTAGTGTCAATAAGTCGTTTTTCCTCATAAATCTGTTGGAGCAGATCTTGTGTCAGGAGCACACCCTTTAAATGAAGTCCGTATAATGTTAACATGAAAGTGACGTATTCATTAATATACGTAAACGTCATCCAATGAGATATGTTACTGGTGAGAAATGGAATGTATAAAATTGAGAAGTTGAAATTATCACGTTTCTAAACGTACAATCTGGTACAAATTGGGTAAAACATAGAATTTTTAAATCACTTTGCAATATGATATCCCTTCGTTACGGAGGTTATATTGTTTAGTCCCGAGTACGTTCACTATCTCAATATTGTCTTAATTTGTTGTCGGATCCTCTTCAAATCTGAATTACGCGGCCTTTTAAGGAAAACCATGGATGAGTTGGATATTCAGTAAAATCTAAAATCAAATACTGTATATGTACTTTTTTCGTGGTGTATTTATTTTCATGAATTTCGTGGTAGACATATTTTCGCGAAAATAAATACACGCGAATACATATGCAGCTTAAATGGATGTAAAAACCTTTGAACAATTTTCTCCAGAATTTACAACTGGTATCCTGGTTTCCCTCTCTTCATAACCCCATTTGAACTGTGGAACTGTTAAAACAGCACGTGTGATCATTACAGAAAATCAATAAGGGACAAAAGATAACAAATAATGACTCAAGCGAAATCTGACAGTTTTAGAGTGTAACTACAAATTAATCGGAAAATAATCTCTTTCTAACGGACGACTGTTTTGATGATTGAATAATCTTTGTTTATTTTGTAATCAATATCACTGACCTATTCTTTATTAGTTTATATTTTGATTAACAAATAAAGACTTAATTATGAAAATTTGAATATTTTATGAAAATATCTACACAAGTATGTATTAATGTTTTGATATTTTCGGCAATACCGCGAAATTAAATACACACAAATTCATCAGAAATACTGATTTAGCAAAAATAACTACACGCTAAAAAAGTACATGTACAGTAATTACTAAAATATAAAATGGGGATACAATTCTCTTCAAAGTTGTATGGAGGTTTCAAATAATCTAATTCTTGGATGAGTTTAATGATTGAGGAAATCTTTGTATGTGATACACGTGCACTTGCTATTAATCCATTGAAAAAAGTAAAATAACAAAAATACCGAATTCAAAGGAAAATTCAAAAAAGAGAAAGTCCGAACGCGTGGTTCGTTTATATAGATCTATTGTGAATATGTCATTTCCCCCTGGAAAAATACTCAATTTTCTATAACAAAGCACCCCCAAGTCTGCTTTTCTGGGCTGCTTAGGGATATTGTAAAACAGGGGTAATCGAAGAAAAACAAAAGATTGATCAATTTATGAAAAAAACAGAATATTTTGGGGGGCAGCTTCTAAATGTATTACATACTAATTCTAATGTCACCAATTGCAAGATATAACGCCATTTTATTTTGTTAATCATTGAGTTCTTTGGGTAAGATCAATCATCAGCGAATAAAGGACCATGATTATGGGAGGAAGGACATATTAATTATGAAGGGCGTTTTTATTTCATGTTGACGTGCCTGCCGAAGTTACTGCAAAGTTTTGGGAGCCGGTCTAAAAACAGGTATTCAACCGAAATTTATGAATATGTATTTTTGAATTTGCCGATGGTTAATGGATTGGTGATGACTTAGGGTTAGAACAAAGACATTCTCTAATCTGCTATTACATATGAATCGTAAGTATTAATATGACTCAAAAACGCATTTTATTATGCGTAGTGTAGACGACATTACTAGTGAAGCAGGATCTGGTTACCCTTCCAGGGCACCTGAGACCAACCCTGTTATTAAGTTGGGTTCGTTTTGCTCAATGCGCGAAATATCTTATTTTTTTACAGTATTTTGTCTTGTTGTCGTTTTTATTTTTGGCCATTGTGTCGTTTGTTTTTCCTCGATTTACGAATTTTGATTTTCCATTTTGTATTTTCTGTCTCTTTTGCCTGTTGCTGTAGATTTCCTGTCCTACGGATGGTATATCCGGATTTAAAGATGTCTTCCGGTGTATACTGTATTGTTGAGCTATTGTATAATGTGGCTATACAAAATGTCATATAAAATTATAATCCATGTGTATTAAAATCTAATGAGGACAGGGCGATATTCGATTGGCATATTAACAAATCAATTATTTAATTTGCGGATCTGTTATAAGCGCTTCGCAATTATCATGTCAATAGTATTTGTATTATTGTTTTGAACTTTTATCTTTAATATCCGTAATTATTGCACGCAGTCTATGGCCAGCAGAATGTGTATCTTTACTGGGAATATATCTGGAAGTCTTGACTGATTATGATAAACGGTATGTAAAACATTTTTGTACCAATATGTATTATTCATAATTGTGTTTGGGCAGAGGATTGCAGATTAGGCAGTATATAATTTTGATGGTCATGACTCATCTTGCAGCAAATGGAGGTGTTTAATAAATACAATTTGTTGATATTAGTGAACCTTAGAAATGACAACACATTACTGTGCTGTGTTCGTTGACAGTGTTTAAGGTGTAAGTTCATACCGAAATAGGCATATTTAGTAAGACCAAATCTATGTGTGCAGAAATGCCCTTAATAGTGTCGCATTAACTTATACGTCGTGCTTCATTGTTTTTTAATTACATTTTATGTTCAATTTTTAATCAAATTACCTATATACATTAAGATCACCTAAACCTGTATATTTGTAAATTAGTGAATAGTTCAGAATCCAGTTTGCAAGCTTGTCCGCCATAAAGATGGTATGTAAAGCTCTATGTTTGTGTTTTGTAAGTCTTTTATCAAATTTATTTTCACAGTTTTAAAAGATCAAATCACAATTTGTTTTACGGAAGAAAAGAAACTATTGACATGATTGACATGAATGTTTTGTATTTACAGGAATGTTTCGGATTATTTACAGCTTTTCAGTGGATGCAATTCGAAAATTGAGTTAAACCTTCCAAGCTACTAATTTTGCAATTATTATGTAATTTATAAAAAAATTAAGCCTGGTAAAACATTTTTTCGACCACTGGGTCCATGCCACTGGTGAACGTTTCGTCCCCTAGGGTTTCACCAGACCAGTAGTCAGCATTTCTGTGTTAGCATGGAATATCATTTATTGGTCATTTTATTCAATTACTGTTCAAGATTGTTTAACCCGGTCATATACTACCTCGGCAAATGTTGCTAAACTTTTTGGCAATTATTGGTCATCAATACTTTCAAATTTATACTTGCTTTGGGCTTAAAACTACTTTTATTCGAACGTCACTGTTTGGTTTTGTGTAAACGAAACGCGTCTGGTGTACACTATTATATTTTAAAAACAAGATGATGTGGTATGATTGCTAACTATAACACAAAATACGAACTTCAACAAACTCATACTACATAGCAAGCTATAAAAGCCCCCAAATGACAAATGTAAACAATTCATTTACAGAATAATAAACGAAAAAACAAACATGATAAGCCAGGTATCTTTATTGAGTTTCAACAACCAAGGGGTCGATTCCGCTGCTGGTGAACGTTTCGTCTTCGAGGGTATCACCAGTCCGGTATTCAGCATTTGTGTAATGACATGACATATCATTGATCGGTCATTATTAAAATTTAAATGTCAACAAAACTTTGAATTGTTCGAAATACTACGGATTTTGTAACCAGGTATAAATAAGAAGATGTGGTATGAGTGCCAATGAGAAAACTGTCCATCCAAGTCACTATGTATCAAAAGTTATCAATTATAGGTCAAAGTACGGCTTTCAACACGCAAGCTATAAAGGGCCCCAAAATGACTAGAGTAAAACAATTCAAACAGGAAAACCAACGGTCTAATCTATATAAAATATGAGAAACCAGAAACACCTATGAACCAAACCAACAAACGACAACCACTGAACAACAGGCTTCTGACTTAGGACAGGTGCATAAAAATGCAGCGGGTTTAAACATTTTAACAGGCGCCAACCTTCACCCTTACCTGAGACAGAAGTGTAACATTACAACATAAAAAGAAACACTATAAAATATCAATTGAATTGGCTTATTGTATTTTTTTTTTATTAATTTTAGTTCATTTATATGTTTTGGAGTTTAGTATGACGTTTCACTGAACTAGTACACATTTTTATTTAGGGGCCAGCTGAAGCCCGCCTCCGGGTGCGGGATTTTCTCGCTGTGTTGAAGACCCATTGGTGGCCTTCGGCTGTTTTCTGCTCTTTGGTCGGGTTGTTGTCTCTTTGACATATTCCCCATTTCCATTCTCAATTTTAACTCGATCAAAAAGACATTTAAACAAAAACAAGTAAACATACACTGATAGAATAAGTTTGATCTATGACACAATATAAATACAATATCAAAACGTAGGTGCCTATATAACATAGACGTTACAGGTAGTAATAAAAAAAGATGTAGGAAGAGTGTCAATAGGACAACTCTTACCTGGGACAAATTGGCGTTAAATAAAACAACGTACACAGGTCAATTTAAGTATAATAAATTTCTTGTTCAGAGTACGAGTACAGTAGTGAATATTTATCGTCATTCATAGATAACCTTCCCGATTTTTTCAAAATTGTTTGGAATTTCGGGTCATCAATACTATTCAACTTCATACTTGCTTTGGCTTTCAACCTAATTTGATTCGAGCGTCACTGGTGAGTCCCGAGTAGACTAAATGCGCGTCTTGAGTACACATTTATAAGTTTGGTATCTTTGATGAGTTATTAGCACAACTATTGCCCTTTCAGTGTGATTTTAACACATTTACCTGACCAGTATGAGTTACCCCAAGGCCAACACATATTGACATCCGCGAGCCTTTAACTGTTGTGTGGGGTTAAACCCATACATTAACAAGTTGGGATCAAAACTAGCCAGATGGAATCAGTAAGCTGATAAGGGCACCAATTATCCTATAGTTATTGACTTATTTGTGGCCAAAGTAAATTTTCTGTATCAAAAATGGTTAACCCTATAACGCATAAATCATACACAAGATATTGGAGTACTTTATTATAAGCAGTCTGTTCCGTTCCCCTTGTATTCCAATGTTCAAACAACATTCTAGTCGTCATCAATTTCACAACTCATTTCAACCACCAGCACATGGCGTAGGTCACTTAACGTCGGACAGTTATGACCTGTAAGAAAATATAAATTCATAATTACAAAATACACACAGGATTTATTAAAAAATGTTATCGAGAATTCAACGGTTCAAACATACACACTGAGAACTAAATATAACAAAATAAAAAAAAAAAGATACGTACACTGAGAATTAAAATCTATACTGCGATATGTGCGTTTAGATATTTACCTAAAGGTAGCATTGTTAGGGATGAATCTGGCCTTCGGTTAGCGTTAATATTCATAATTCATACCCGACATAAGCCATGTATTGGCAATACGAAGGTTATTAGTCCCACACTTGATCGGTTTCAAACTGATTTCAAATCTTTGCTTCAGCAACTGTACACGATTTTACATAAAAATAGGATGCAGTTACGAAGTTTCACAAATGTATCCCCATTAATACATACCCCTGGGGACTTTACCGTTTGACCATCCAAAGCATCTTGACATGACAACGAAGAAAATATATCGATAAGGGGAGGTGAATAATCATTATAATAATATTTGAACATTCTTGAGGTGAATCATCGGTATATATTTCCTTAGATAGAATTTTCTTATACTTTGCCAAAATGGAGATTTTACTTTACTTTTTTCAAAAATATAATAAAAAGAATGGGTCGCCGTGCTATTTTTCACGCTGCAAGTCGTGCAAAATTGCCCAAATATGCATAGATTGTTCATGTAAAAACACATTTGTGTGAATAAAAACATCTATGAGATAGAATTTTGAAATGAAATATGAGAAGATAGGTTTTATAATATGCTTTAAGAAAATAAAAAAAAATGGTGTCACCGAACTTTTTCTTGCTACAATTGAAAAGTGAAAATTTCACTATCATTCCAGTATAAATTTTTCACTATAATAGTTATCTCCCCTTAAATGGCAACGTTGAAAATTGATTTAAAAACACAAATATTTGGAATTTGTTTAAAACATTTCGATAATACAATAAATCACTTATTTATTTTTTATACAAATAAACAGTCTTACACATAACTTGCAAATCTTTCTCAAAATTTGCAGATTTAGGCAAAGAACTATAGACTGATTGTGTACTGCTATTGTACAAGATGGCAGTATACAGTTAATCTAACTTAAATAGATTGGATGGGTAAGGCTCCTTTGGACTCATCCTATGATTCATTCTATTTTGCCTTGTCATGTTGAAAATGTTTAATTCTTTAGATTATTCATATCATTTACGTTTTTTTCAATAATTTGATTGACTTTTTGACGCTTAAAAAGGCCAAATGGTCTCATGATTATTATTGAAAACCCCATACCATTATCACTTAATGTTTTTAAATTATAGCCGTGTAAGCATGAACATAAATTTTCCATATGGTTCTATAGTAAACCCTCCCTTCTCATGGCCCCTCAATGTACCCCTTTATAGACCCCATACACAAACCTGAATGCAGGTTGGATATGTAGGTCTGACATATGACGTAGACCCGTAAGTAGGTATGAATTGCTGTTTCAGAGATTAGCTGCGGACAAATTCAGATGCGAAGATGAGGAAGAATGACAAGTAGATCTGAGCAAAACAATAAGTCTTCAAACTGTGTTCCCTCCAATTTTCTATATTTTGATTTGTATGGTTAAAAAAGTTGAAAACGTTTAATGAGACTTCAACGTCTCATATGGACGGTGGAATATTGATTGCATTACATATATTTTGGACGTTTTAGAATCAAGAGGTGTGTTTTCATCTTCACAAGACAAAAGGACGAGGATGTTATCAACTATAGTTCATCGTATGTCCCCCAAAAATGAACAAAACACATACAGTATAGTAGTAATAAACGACTAACACTGAATTACAGGTACAGTATCTGACGTTGAACATGTCAGTAGACACAACATGTTTATGCGAACTCTTCCCTTAGCAGAGACAGTATTGTAACAGCAAAACATAAGAACAAACTGTAACAATCAGTCGGAAATGGCTCGACTCATCACGTCGGCATATAACACAACAAAAACATTCCAAAAATTAATGCAAACTTGATTGAAAGTTAAATTTGCTATAATCTTATTATTAAAATGCTTTTGTGAAGAGTTATTATTTTCTTTCGTGTCTTTTTCATTTTTCGTATTGACATTAGGAAACCCGTCCGCATGTAATACAATGTAATCCGATCAACGCTTTTATGACAGACATAAACGATCTATGAGTACTTTTATTTTATACGTTAAATATAATATATATATTCATCTTTGACTGGAATACGAGAGTAATTTTTAGAATAAGTTTTGAAGAATTTCGATTAATGGATACGACTTGCCTCTTGTCTGAGAAAACCTGACTAATGCTGTCCGAACATTACGTTCGTTATGACCACTGTCAATAAGTGACCTAGCGGCTTCTGGAAGACTGTTTTGTTGCAGTTCAAGAGCCCTTCCATATTCCCCTATGTTGGTATCTGTATATATGATAGGTATCATTCAATATTGTACTACACAACAACAACAAAAAAATGAATTTGATGACAATATAAACATAACCACTGCCGGTTTGGCATTATAAACGTAAACGTTACAGGTGGACTGTCAGACTCGAGTTAATTTCGAGTTTATCACATGCCCAGAAAGCACAGCTGTCGTACCTTCAAAATTCAAATTGAATTTTGATTTGATTTTTGATTTTTGTTTTTTAAAGTTACAACTCCCGCAAAACGGATTCACTGTTAATGATTATTAATCTTTTGTTTCAAGCCTGTCCATTACAGTTCTTTATCTTTGATAATTACAAGCTTTGCGAACGAAAATCGGTCTAAAATGATTTTATCATTCATTTGTTCTACAAAATCATAGAGCTCATTTAGTAAAAATATAAACGGTACCAATTTTACTGCATTAAATACGCATTTCAACAATTAAAGTCTGTTGAGTGATGACAGAGGCCGAACCTTGATACAACTAGTAAAGAGCTGATAAAACCAAACAGTATCAAAATTATTCCAAACCCGGACATGTAAATCGTGTCGTATGCACTGTGTCATATTTTTATAATACATTTGTTTATTCTAAATAGAAATCTTTTAAACTATTTTCAATTTCAATTAACAGTTACATGATGTTTATGAAGGTTTAGTTAGTTTCTGCTGGTTTTAGGTAACAGAAACAATTTAAAATCAATAATTGTAGAAAAATATCTAATGTATTAAGGTAGCACTACAGTTTGATTTTTTTGACTTCAACTAACAGTCTTTAAAGAATGATTTCTCAAAAACTGCTAATGGATTTTTAAAAGCTTTAACTCATTTTTAAGCTAAAGTATTACTTTTATTAATCTATAGATACAGTTATTTTTGGTATAATCGAATAAAAAATATATCTCATTAACTGCCAAAAAAGTGCTTTCCCTACTTGGATGGAATTAGCACATTCAGGTCAAATGGTAGTAAAAATCTGTTTTCATCCCTTTAATTGGCCATACACAAGCTACAAAATAGTGCCTCAGATTTTTTATAAATACCTCCAATTAGAAGATATATTGGTTTTACTGCTGGGTGCCAAACCTCATTTTACCTTTCATCTTTGAAGACCCCTAAAATCATACAGAAACAAATTATCCCAAAACTGGGACACGGTCCTGTAAAAAATACTCCATTTAATCACATAAATCAAAGACAAACTAAAGGGGGAACCCATAAAGATTCTATTTTCATTTTTTGATGACAATTCCCATAAAAATTGTTTTTTTCTTTTTCTTTGTTTACCTCCATGATTATAAAATAAATTAGATTTAATAGCAAAATAATAAGATAAGCCCACATTATTTTTCTTGTGTTCAGAAATTACTGGTAACAGCTGGACACTTGGTATCAACAAATGATTGAAAGATTAGCTCCTCCCATATGCTCTAATATAAAGAATTAACCATGTGCTTCTATTAACATAATTAAATTATTAATTAACTCCCTGATGTGACATCATTATGACTCTGGGATTTTTACAAAATGTTCAGATGGATTAATACTCTTAAATAGCGTGGAAAAAAAACACTAAAATTCATCATTAAACTGTAGTGCTACCTTAAACAGAAAACGCACGCGTATGATAATAACAAAAATGAACAATATACGAAAATAAATACTCACTGGCCTTTCCTTTGAGTACTTGTTGTTTATTAAATTTGAAAGTGTTAACTTAATCATATCGGCAGTATGTTTTTCTTGTATCGTCATGATGCATACAAAATAATACTGTTTCGTAATTGTGTGCAAAACTGAACGCGAAAAAATATCTAGAGATTATCAACTATGCATACATCGTCGTGTGAATCTTATAGTGTTAAATTGTTTGCATGGTTTAAACTCAATCTATGAGTATTTCTTAGCAAATCCAACAGTTTAGAATTGGGATTATTACACAGTTAAAAAATCCATGAACTATCTCGTATAGAAATTTAGGGATGAATTTCTAAAACAACATTGTTTGTAGTGAAATGATCTATCTCCAGAAAAGGGTATGCTTTATTTATCTAAGTTGCGTGTCTATAAAAAAAACAATCAAACAAGGAGTTACTCTTCATGTACGTAAATTCGATTCCTATATAACTTTTTTTTTGTCTCAGTCAAATATTTAAGACTTAAATTTTAATTGTTACCACGATTACGAAAATGGGATATACATCATTATTGGATTCTCACGACGAAATTTACTGTCCTGTACGCATGTGCCTGTACGACGACCAGGTGACCATGAGTACAAAACAAAGACCGATATATTAGAATAAGGCTGGACTTATTTTTATTTTATCGTGATGTATAACTTCTCATATGATTTAAGAGATTTAAACATCGGTCACAAACTAGTATCTCTTACTAAACTAGTTTACTTGGCATGCAATAAATTTCTTCCGCTATATAAATGATGTCCTCTCACTAAATAATTCAAATGTGGTGACTATGTTGAACGCATCTTTTCCATCGAACTTAAAATAAAGGATATAACAGATACAGTAAAGTTTGCATCATATCTTGACTTAAATTTAGAAATCAGTAATGAAGGGCGGTTGAGAACAAAACTTTACGACAAAATAGATGATTGCAGCTTCCCTATTTTGAAATTTCCATTTATATGTAGAAACATTTCAGCAGCGCTTTCAATTGTAGTATAGATCTTCCAGCTGATACGATATTCCAGAGCTTGCATTTCAAATCATGATTTTCTTGATAGAGGGTTGCTGGTTACAAGGAAGCTATTATACTACGAGTTCCCAGTGGTAAAGACGAATTTATCTTTTCCAAAATCTTTGGGACGCCGTGACGAGTTTGTTGACCGTTATGGAATATTTGTTTAACAGATGACGACGGATATGTTCCAATTGTCGTAAGGACAATCCCGAACAACGGTATACTACTGTTGCCTTTATTTCCCTCAACGTGACCTATATAATTAGACTTTTTCGGGTTTGTACTTACATGATCAACATGACGGGTGCAACCTGTGGAGCACGACCTGCATATCCCTCTAGAGCACCTGGGATCACCACCGGATCTAGCGGGTTTCGTGTTGCTCAGTCTTTAGTTTTTTTTATGTTTTGTGTCTTGTGTACTCGTGTTTGTCTTTTGATCACTTTTGTTTTGTTTGCCATAGCATTGTCAGTTTGTTTTCGACTTATGAGTTTAAATATCCCTTTGGTATCTTTCGCCTCCTTTTCACATTTTGTATTGACTGAAATGCATTATCTAATGGGTCTTAAAATGACGTTATTTGTTAAAAAGTTATTTGTATAATCGTGTAGATGTTAAAAATCATTTATTTTATGCATCCACCTAAGTACATACAAAATGTAAAATCTTTATAAAAAGGACATGCAATATTTCTGTAAGTTTTCATTACCTGACCGACTTTGGACATCCGTTTCATCACTTGGATCAACTGTTCTTGTCTCAAATAAACGATTTTTTTTTATCAATGCCAGTTTAAGTGAATGGTGTAGTTTTAGCACAGACATTTATTATACAGAACATATATTTTCATTATCTTCATAGTTATTCATTTGTTTACTATATAATCCAAAAAAAAAAAGCTCCGAAATGTTGGAAATAAAAACGTATCATGGAATACATTTATGTATTAATTGATGGAAGATCGTTTTGAAGTTCTAAGTTATTGTCCACTCTATCCATTCTATCAGCACTTAAAGCACGACTAACTGTTGTCGTTGAAATATTGGCTTCCGACTTGTTCCATATCTTGTTTGTTTTGATCGTCGGTTTCAAATGTAATGATTTGCTGGATATATTATTTAAAATTGATTCACCTGTGGCCAAACTGGCTGTGTGAATTGATCAAGCAATTGGCCGGCCGAGAACACAGTTATTTCGAAATGCATTTCTTTTAGACAATAAATTCAAATTAAAAAAATCGCACCTGCTCTATCTCAAAAAGATTTTTACAGTGTAGTGTACTACTTTCAGGACAAATAATATTAAAATTATAGAAAAGTTTACCAGCTCTTACTCAAAATATTGACAATTCTTTGTTTAGGGTTCTAAAACTCAGTTTGACAGCTTCAGACATACTAGTTTTTGACCTTTTTTAACTTGACCAAAACACTACTTTACATAAAGATTCAGCTCCCAACTTTTTTTAACATGTAGTTTCATCCCCTTACTTAATATTTCATGCATAAAAGATAAAGAAATAAATTGGAAAGTGTATGAAAAAAATTTGCAAGTTATACTCTGTCCACACCAGGGACTATTTTTGTAGACAACAAAAATCAAAGGACGATAACTGTGTCCTCGGACCACTTATATTCCAATCGTTTTATAAATGTATACAAAAAAGACCTACATGTAAAATATTGTATACTCACCATGACAGGGCCTGGATTATTAAAGCTTGTAGCTGTTCTTATCGTTTGGTGGTTGATAATTCCTGTACAATTTAGAGTTAAACTTTTCAGGATATTATTCTATCAAGCAACAAATCTAACGACAAATTATTCTTTCTTCATATTTTTTAAGCCTAAGTCCGCTTAATTTTTTTTATATAGAATTTTGATTTTTCGAAAAGAAAACCTTATCCCATATCCATATTTTATCTTACAAAATTATGTGTTGTCCAGGAAAACATTTCACGAAAGGTGAAAATAGTTATATGTTATTATTACGCAAGCGAATTCCCTTCTTGTCAGTTTCCAAGTGGAGCTTTTAAAACTGACTTTCATCTACGAGTGTCATAGATTGATCATTCGTATTTTTAGCAAATTGCATACGATAATCATAAAAATTAAACTTACGATTGTTGTGGTTGTGGTTAGAAATTGAAGATTGCTCTGAGTTTGTCGTTTTTTGTCCTGTAACGTCTTGTCTTGTTGCAGTATTACGTCCACCATCTAATTCATCAGTTAGATTGTTAGACTGCTTATATCTCTTTCGACGTGATTGTTTTCTAGATGAGATTTGTCTGTGTACGACAGATGAATATCATTGCATTTTTTCATTACTTTTATTTAAATGAATGTTGGCTTCTGTTCTGTTAAGTTCTGATAATTCAGAAACAGTCGGTTTCTGTTTGCTAGTACCTTTTGAACTATATGAATGACGACGATTTGTTTCTCGTAAGGAGTTATTGTTTGGTGTATAGGTGAAAGCAGCAGGAGGAAACGATCTAAAAAAGCTGTTCATGCTACATATCAAATGTGAGTAATTGTTGATAGCCATAACACCAGTTCGCGATATTCTTTGTCTTGTGGTTTCTGTATTTGCAGAATTCCGCCAATTGGGTCTGTTACGATGAATATCAATGAAAGGAGATTCGTGCATCGAAATACATGCATTATTTCTATTTTGGTGTTCATTGTGGTCATAATCAAAAGGAGAAATTCCTTCCATGTCTCGTGAACTTGAAACCATAATATATGGAGACGGTTGCAAATTAGATCTATAACGATTTTGGGGTGATTCGATAACAATGAAAAGCCTAAAGTATGTGTTAACCTGTTACTGTCTATTCTGGAATTAGATTGTATTATATTCCTTCTGTCCGATCGAATACTTGTATCAACAGTTTCACGTAATCTGTATTGACTGTTCCTGTCTTCGGAAGGATTAGGATAATACAATATTAAGGCACTATTTTGATTTTCTGTTATTTCATTTAAAGTTTGGTTTATAACTAGATCTATTTGTCTGTCTGCACCTGTGTCATTAGTTATTCGGACAGCACACACAATTAATTCTTGATGATATTAGCAACCATTCCATTTATACACGAATGCACGAATGTGTAACGAAAAAGAATAGATAGGTCATGTGTATGAGTACTGGACCTGATATAGCCATATTGAGTAGTCTTATTTTTAAAGACCATGATCTGAAATAATAAGAGTGAACAAATTACTAGTATATAACATGTTCAAAATAATGTGATTGTTGATACTTTTTCAGTTTTTTGGTAACTTTTTACTAGTTCAATGTAAATATCATAGAAACAAATTATTTGATATTTTGGTTTTTCCTAAACTTATCTTTTTTTCCAAATTTGTGAGTCGTTATATCGTCCATAAATTATTGTTTTTTCTGACTATATTTCTATAATTATTTTTCATTGTGTAACACAAATGTTTACCCAAGTATCATCATTTTTCAATTATCCTTCAAATGAAATCAAAAGACAAAAAAGCTACCCTGTACTTTGCTTAGTCAGAGGTGAATAACTCCCATTTAAATTGCTGCATTCTCTGATGATATGACTACCAGGAAAATCAAGATAACTAGAAACGTGTACATGACAAGCTCAACTTGTTTACATTACAGGGATAAAAAATATATGTATGCAAATTTACTATATTAACATAATGTATATTTTGTAACACATACCAGTCATCTTTTCCAGTATTTGCTAAAATTTCTCGTTTCCGCTTATGGAATATTCTACCAATACATTTAATATTCTTATTATCATTTTCAAGTTGGAATAAATAGCTTAGTTAATTGTTTGAATAACCACTGATATGATTGATAATTATCAGTGCATACACATTTATTAAAATGTATTGTACTGACAGGTACAATGAGGTAGTATGCAAACATCTTTAAGAATACACAATTCCCTTCAATATTGATTGGTGACGTATGATTACTATTTAAATTACTGACATTATTAACTACATGTATGCTAAATAACATATAATGCACATATCGTAACAAGACTAGGATAAACTACAAATGAATTCGGTTTCTAACAAATGAAATATAAAAATGTCGGATATTTATGAAATATGACTGCAGTGTCCAAAAGGCTGGATAGACTCTTTGGGCTAAATTAAAATCTATTATTAGCGTCTAAAAACATTTTTTGTGGTGTTGTAAACTCAGTGTCAGATATAGTAAATGTATACGTTAAATAAAGTTGACGTAGTGTATACAGTAACCGCTAAACGGATATAATCAAGACTTAGTATTGACCAATGAACCATGAAAAAATAAAATCAATGTTACACAAACCTAACAAGATGGGCATATCGTCCTTACAATCATTGTTTATCCCCAAAATGTTGACCCATCGCTCATCCTACCCCCGAAACGAACTTGTCGTTCACTTACGAACCATGAAAAAGTATTATAAATTTAGATCGGATGAACCCGGTCAGACGACCTATTGTTTATGCTATTTTAGGAATGGACCTAATCACGGAAACCTAATACTGATTTGTGAACAATGAAATTATGTCAAATTTAATTGTTTCTTGTATAACGAACATGCATACTTTTCAATGATTCTATACAATACGTAGCTGTCACTTCGCATGATGAAACTGTTTACAGTTATAAGCAGTCACTAAAAAAAACAAAATCAGAGCACGGACAACTCAAAACTATATATATGTTACAGTGAATTTGTATAATCAGGGATTATGTAGAATCCCTGATTTTTCAGGGATTATGTAGAATCACTTAAATCATTAGTGATTATATATAATTCCTTAAAATGACCAGTGACTTTACATAATCACTTAAGATTTTTATAATTATTCTACAAATTCCCTGAAATGATTTTAGGGATTATCAATAATTTAAAGATCCTTGATTTGATAAAAAATAAATATAGACTTATCATTATTTGTTTTTTCTTATTCCTTGAAAGTTTAAATGAACAGTAAGTCACGATTTAAATTGTTTAAATGCTCCTTCCATCTCTTATATTTCATACAGATTACACTATTACATCATTATACATTAACATGAGATGGGGGCTGGTGGGCATGGATCTAGGAAAATAATAAATCTTAAATACTTAGTATCTGACGAAAAAATATTTTTGTGAATAGCAAACTTAAAGTCATAAAAACTAGATATACAGAAATAAAAGTATAATTTTATAATAATTTATGCATATTTCTAGGATAAGCGTCTCATTAGTATACTTTTGTGCTGATCCGGTTTTGGCATTGTTGTTTAACCTTACGTTAGCAAAGAACAAGTACTAAATCCACAGTGCATGTTATTTGTGTTAAAACAATTGGTAAAAAGGTTATGGAACATCTGTTTTGTGTATATTGTTTTCAAATGAACAAGAAATTCAAACTGAGAGAACTGAAGCAACTAGATGTATAGAAAAACAGGCAGAACGAACGATCGGCAGTATCTATTATGCTTCTAGTCTATTTTTACAATAAGTAGAATTAGGTGCGTGACACAGGCTCTTAAGCCTCCTATGAATTTGAATGAACTTCATTCACAAACCTTTTTTATTTACAGTCACTACGTTCAATAATATGCTTTTTCTTTGATGCCTTCCTTTATATTTGGCTGATCTAAGCATAAATAAATAAACTGATAACCAGGAACGATAAAGAATAGTCATATGAAAAATGATGATAACATTGATTTTTTAAAATTTTTTGTGAGGCCCCTCATGGTGTGTCCAAGTAATCACATAATCATAACTTTTTTGCCAATATAATCACATAATCATTAGTTATTTTTTTAAACAAAATAATCAAATAATCAAAAATACAGTCTTAGCTTAACAAATAATCAAATAATCATGAAATATTTGGTCTGATAATCAAATAATCAATATAAAAACGGTCAAGTAATCACATAATCAAAAAGCCCATGAGAAGGCTCTTTTGTCTACTTACCAACTTCTATTATTTCTAATATTTGTCCCAAACTACTAGTTCAAATCAATTTACACAAATGAAAGTGGTGGTGTTTTTGAGCAGAAATTATGAATATCATAGTAACGTATTAACGTCTGTATCATTGTATAAAATGTGTTTTTTCATATAAATACAAATAAACTTTAGATGAAAACATTGAAGAAGCGACTCCGAGATAAAACTTATTTTTAACGTGTATTAACCAAATTATCTTTTAAAACTAAGTATAACTATGTTTATGTCCAAGGAAAGCAAACTGAAAGGAACACAGTTAGGATTGTAGGCTTGCGTTTACTTTACACTAGAAATGCTATGCCAAAAAAATTTAATTTACACGAATAATTTAATGTTTGCTTAGATTCCTGATATAAAGTCCCCAAATTTAATAACATCTTTTTGCCGAGGTGCCTTCGTTTGTATTTGGCTGATCTCTAAACCCCCAAAATATTTAATTTTTTGAAACACAAAATACGTTTACATATAAATTTATGAGTTCTCGGGCCTAAACTGGCTGTCATTTTCAAAGGTTTGCATTTCATGGTGTAAGCATATCCATCTTTGTCAAAACGTATCCCCATCCTTTAACTCTCTTATTGGTCAATAAGTATCACTTCCACCTTTGATTCTATGCTTTAAATTCAAAAATGTTATAAAATGGATATAAGAAGATGTGGTATGAGTGCCAATGAGACAACTTTCTATCCAAGTCAAAATTTATAAAAGTAAACCATTATAGGTCAAAGTACGAAAAGTTTATTTTCTTTTCCAGGAATTTATATATCTTCCTGCATTGTTTATGTCAGCTAAAAATTTGTCATATATCACAAACATTTTTATTTTAAGACTTATAAAACATAAAATAGAAAAAAAAACGAATTCGAAGGAAAATTTAATACGGAAAGTCCCTTATCAAATGGCAAAATCAAAAGTTCAAACAACTCAAACGAATGGAAAACAACTGTCATATGCCTGACTTGGTGCAGGCATTTCCTTATGTAGAAAATGGTGGATTAAACCTGGTTTTATAGCTAGCTAAACCTCTCACTTGTATGACAGTCGCATAAAATTCAATTATATTGACAACAATGTATGAACAAAACAAACAGACATAATAGGTAAATATGTCAAAAATAGGGGTACAGCAGTCAACTTTGTGTTATAATCTTAATCACTATGAAAACAAACAAATATGTCAACAAAGAAAAACAAAATAGCATATAGACAAAGCACATGAGCAAAAATGAAAGACATGAATACAAAAAAATGACCATAGCACAATAACATAATGGCGGGATGTATAAGTACCGAGCCACGCCAAAAGGATATTACCAAAAATGGACTTAACAGTAAAAGTCAAAAATTTACAAAGACAAATAAAAGAACACTATAGCACGTTATCAAGATGATAAACAACGTCAGTACCTATACATTTTATTCTTCAAGACCATCATGTATTATTTGTGAAGATGATACAGAATAATTATCAACAAGGTCTTGGTATCTTCCGATGAACTTTAAAAAAAAAAGGACGAGATATTCTGCGACATAACCCTGGTTCATTAACTTTCTGCTCAGACACTGGTGAAGTTTTATAAAGTCTGAGTAGCAGCTGCAAGCTCTTGAATACCGAATAAGTCTGGAAATGTATATCCCATATGTAGGGGAAGCTAGTATATTGCTACTAAGGTGAGGGAAATCGTCTCGTTTGTCATAGATTCTGGTACTGAGATGACCGCTTGTCAAATTCGAAGTATAAGTCTAAAAGAGATACGAAAGATACCAGAGGGACAGTCAAACTCATAGATCGAAAACAAACTGACAACGCCATGGCCAAAAATAAAAAGACAAACAGACAAATATTAGTACAGATGACAAAACATAGAAAACTAAAGACTAAGCAACACGAACCCCACCAAAAACTGGGGGTGATCTCAGGTGCTCCGGAAGGGTAAGCAGATCCTGCTCCACATGTGGTACCCGTCGTGTTGCTTATGTTCTTACAAATCCGGTAAATAGTCCGGTAAAAATGAGGCGGAGGAAGCCGTGCCTATTGTTTCTTTAATTTCTAGTTCTGGAGGATATATTAATGGAACCCAATCAGAAAAGTTCACTTTGAGACATGGGTACCCCATTCCGTTTATTGAAAGACTTTTCAAAACATGCTGATTTTCAAATTCTCTAAGATAATCCCCTAAAAATACATTTGAATTCCAGTGAGCAGTCACTCGCTGATCCTCCTTTGTCAGTAATTCCCCTTGCATTGCCTGGCTTTCATGTCCTAGTTATGAAAGGTTCAGCTTTTAGATAGCACAAAAATGGTTGTGTTTGCTCCTCGACATTTAATCAAAGTACAGCGAAACAAGTGCATAGGGGTTTGGTAGGACCTTCGTGCGTTTTTTGTTCAGAAAATTAAACATTTTCCCAATTTTGATGTGCATTTTCACGGTGCTACAGAAACATTAAAATAATATTTAAAGAGACATTCTCCTCGGTTTATAACTGTTTTATGTTTAAGTAATTGACATAGACAATAGAGAAAATTTGATATCTGTACACAAAAGATGACATAAACCGTGTAAAATGAAGTTAAGGTGTTTGTTTATTTCAACGTCTTCTGCAGATATACAAAATCAATCTCTAAACCCCCAAAATATTTAATTTTTGAAACACAAAATACGTTTACATATAAATTTATAAGTTCTCGGGCCTAAACAGGCTGCCATTTTCATAGGTTTGCATTTAATAGTGTAAGCATATATCCATCTTTGCCAAATAGTTATGGTACATAAAGTTTCCCAATCCTTTATCTCTCTTATCGTTGAAGAAGTACGGTTAGCTCCTTTGATTCTATGCTTTAAATTTAAAAATGTTAAAAAAGTTTATTTTCTTTTCCAGGAATTTATTTACCTTCCGGTATTGTTTATGTAAACTAACAATTTGACACATATCACAAACATTTTTATATTAAGACTTATAAACAGACCTCTTTAGCAAATACTTTATATATTTACTGTTAATCTATTCAAACAACAGAAACTTGTAAAAACCAGTTAGTACCAACCTTTTTTCCACAATGCAATGAGTTGTTTACCATTTCCTTGTGACCGTAAGTTATGAATATATGTAAACACAGGAAGTAATGATTTAAATGGACTAAATAAGATCACATGTATCATGACACAATGTTGGATTTTAATTATTATTATAACATGTATAATAATTGTGTCTTTTTGGAATATGCTTGTATGAATAATGACAATCAACGGGTAAATATCTAACGATAGATACCAAAATTTGCTACACAATATGATAAATTTGATGAAGTACCCTTTGTTCGATTTTATAAGTTATTTTCTAAAGGTAAATTTACTGTACGAATGAAAAATATACTATCAAATGAATGCATGTTGTTGTCACTGAAAAAAACCCAACACCAAATGAAATGAACTCGATATTCCTCCTGTATATTGAAACAAGACAAAAAATGTATGCATTACATAATGTCATATTATTATAATACCCGAGCTTACATATGAGCATTTTCGCATTGCACTTTATTTAATTTGATGTTTTCTCTTTTACAAATGGGATTCAAGGAGTAAAACGGACTGACAAAAAAATCACATACTGATACTTATTTATCAATTAAAATGGATTTGATAGACATTCCAATTTCTTTGAAAGATCCGTCAGAACTACCTACATGGAATGGTTATGATCTAAAGCTGCATGCAATTGTACCGTAGTATTAACATCCATAGTCATACCTAAAAAGAAACAGACAGGGTGGCATATCTTTTAAGAAAAAAATCGCCGAATTGCATTTCAAACACATTCTTATATATTTTGGGTATACAAAATACAACGATTGACACAAGTGGAGCAATAACTGGTTTCCCATTAAGAACAATTTAGATAAAATTCAAATTTGCTGTCATATGAATTTAGAAACGATCTTACATTAAGGCATGAATGAATTATCCTCTTCATACATAAGTCGGATTCTTGTCCGTGATTGGGTATATTGTTGGTCCTGTTAAGTTTAATCATATCTTCGACGTTTGTATTTTATAAAGTTTTGGCAGCAAACAATTAGTTCGCAGTAATTGTAGAAATGTGCATTGTGTGCAGTAGAATTGAAACTGTTAACATTATAATTTTCACTTTTGTTCTATCTCTGCTGCTGGATAGGGTATTACCACCAAAGTATATGGTAGTACTTGAATTGACATAGGGATAGTGTTTGATTTGAATTAACTAATTTGAAAATTAGGAAATCATTTTAAAGGAATAAGAATGCATGAATAAGATTCCTTGTCCGGGTTGGGCTATACGTTTAGTCCTTTTCGATTACAAAAATGTATATCAGTTCATCAACACTTGTATTCTATAGGTTTTTGATTTTCAAATATGGTAACCTCAAGCATCACTGAATAGACATTACTGTCGACATGCGAATCTGCGGCTATAGATATAGGTTGCATTAATGAAATTTCATGTTTGCCTTAGAGAATAAATTTTTCAAAGAAACAAAATAGCCTCATTTAACATTTTATAATTGATATTCATACAGTAACAAGTCTTAATCAAAAAGAGATTTCGATGAAGATGTTATCTTAACGTACGTTGATTCATATGAAATTCTTACGAATATGCACACCAAAAATATGAACAATTGCCATCTCGTTTTGGGCAAATACATTTACATGACATTTTTGGTGTACGGTCTACAGACACAAACAAAACGGCACACACTTCAAAATACTTCCATTTTGTTTTTCTTTGTTATAGTACACTCTATTTATTGAAAGACCTTACATAACCTGATACTTCATCTAAGATGCACCCTTAGAAGAAACCGTGTCAATCTTCATTGAATATAGACATGAGATTTAAATAGTGGAACTATGCATAAATGAAAACAAGCATTATTTTTGAAAAAAAAGTGAGATTTAACTCCAGACCTTTTAAGTAGGGGGCGAGTTGGGCATGCCTAAATTCAGCGGGATTTTTACTTTTTTCATTAGTGTGGTAAAATGAGGAGAACTAGATGGAAATTGGGGCGAGTTTATAAGTATACTTGTAGAAGCTTTTTTCAAGATCATTACTATTATAGTACCTATACATCAGGATACATTAATATCTTTTGAAGTTTTTTTTATTGTGTCATATCCATCCATAATCAAATGTATTGCTTCAGGTTGACATATTTATGGTCTAGTACTTCTTTTAGGATAACAAAAGGATTCTACCATTTGATAATTTATAGGTTTCATAATGAGTGAGAATTGGATATCGCTTGATATCAACTCAAGTTATTTAATTTCCATATAATGATAAAGGAGTTTATTATCACTATTTGAATCAAATAATGAGAGTTGATATCAAGCTACATGTATATACAATTCCCGCTATTAGTTAAACCTATTTCTCTTGATGTGTTAAATTAAAAATTCTGTGAATTGTTGATCTTTTCAGTTGCACATACCAGTATGAAATCATATGTCCAGTTCCGGCGTTAAAACTTTTTAAAATATCAGACATCTTAATACTTTTTGTACGCTTCAGAATGTTCAGATTTTCAGATGAAAAGTGTGAGTGTTTCGTATATCATCGAAAACATCACATATGTCATTTGCCATGGACGAAATGTACATCACTTTAATCTTTGAAAGTCATCAATGACCTAACTAATAGCCAACAGAAACGTTGTAATATTGTCTAAAGGTGCTGGATCAGCCAATTAAATTAACACAGATTTTGTATCACTTTTTTGTATCAGACTCCATGCAATGAAAAACAAAAAAAATCTCTTCTTGCAAGAAAAAGATAACAGGCCAAAACCATAAGAGCATTAATCTTTTTAAACTTCTAATATTTTTTTTTTCGTTTTCATGTCAACCCATGTATAGCAGTTAGTTGCATAAATGTTTTAAACAATGTTGGTAATGTTCAGGGCAACAACAAAAAAAACCACCAAAAGATAAAGACAAACAAATGTACAATTTTATTGTTATAAATTCTATTCTTGCATATATAACATTTTTTTCTTTAAGAAATGAGGGTTATTGAAATTATGTACAAATGTAGTCTGATTTAAAAAAAAACAGAACCCATGATAGAATTTTACATGGATTTGGAAATAATTTTGTTATGAACTAAAATTTAGGAAAGATTAAGTTAGAAATCAGTTATATTTTGCCTTTAATTCTTTCTTATGAACAATATCATTAAGTCATGATAATTGAGTTGATAAGGTAGATGCATTTCTTAACATGAATATGAATGGAAGATGTCAGGAGTATATCTTAAACAGCAACACAGACACACAAAATAGTTAATACTATTTGATTATTACTTAACCCTTTTCATATCAGGTGTATCGTCAGCCCTAGGTCGTACTATAAGTACAGCTAATTCTGACTGAGTGCTGATAATACATCTGATGTGAATAGTGTAACGTTATGATCTTTATACCATAATCATATACTTCCACCTAAAAAATAACAATGTATTAAAATGTTTAACATAAAGAAAATTAATCACAACTATGCAATTTCAATAACATACAAAAGTTTAAAACTTAAACAAAAATAAATGAGGAATGTGTCCATGGGAAACAGATGATGCCCCAGCTTGCATATAACGTTATAAAGGGACATAACTCAAGAACGGTAAAAGTGACACTACTACCCAAATTTGTACTTGATCTGAGTTTTGTGGTAATAAGCATTGTGTATAAGTTTCATAATATTTTGTTGAGTCAAACTTAAGTTAGAGAACAAAAACGAAAAATTCGACAATTTTTCCATTTGTAAAGGGGCATAACTCTAGAACAGTAAAAGTGAGGCCACCAAAATTCAAACTCGATCTGTGTTTTGTGGTAATAAGCATTGCACATAAGTTTCATAACATTTGTTTGAGGTAAACTAAAGTTAGAGAACGGAAACGAAAAAATTCAGCAATTTTTCAATTTGTAAAGGAACATAACTCTAGAATGGTATAAGTGACCCCACCACAATTCAAACTTGATCTGTGTTTTGTGGTAATAAGCATTGTGTATAAGTTTCATAACATTTGGTTGAGGCATACTAAAGTAAGAGAACGGAAACTAATTTTGGATGTACAGACGTATGGATGGATGTACAGACGGACAAGGGTAAAACTTTATGCCCCCTCTGCTATGGCGGGGGCATAAAAAATACATACATTGTATTATTTGATTCAATTTTTCATAATGTATTTTCCTGTTTCTTATATTTTTTTATTCCTACTGTGTAAAAATGTATTCACCAAAGAAACTTCTGTGTTCCAGAAGACATTGCTTAAAGGGGAACAAACATTTTCCAAGTTATACAGATCTTCGTATCTTCAGAATTTAAGGCAAATAACTGTAAAAAAGTCCTTTGGCAAACATGTAAAATAATGCTAAAAAAAACAACTTTGAAACATGTTTAGTGTTACATAGTTCAAACTGAAAGAAGAAATTATTTTCAGGACTAATTATTGTGTAGATTCTTTAAAAAACATTTTTGAGAACTTTGGTTTATCTTTCATCTATTTCTTATTCACTTCATTTTTCTACACTTAGATATGGTATTCACAGATAAATTAATAGGCTATGAAGCCATATTTCATAAAACTGGCATGAACTGCCTACAATATATCGTTTAATGAGGCCATTTTTATCAATCACCTTTTCTCTAACACTTTAAAAATCACTTTTTTTTTTACACAAGTTTTAAGAAATTTAGAACACTTGCAACTTACAGCGCAGGATACATTTAGTATTATAGATAAAATAATCTAATCCGTTATATTCATCAAATATCAACTCACTGGTAAAATAATCATTATTTAACAAATTAGCTTATATTTCAAAAGGATGATTTATTTGCTAAGCAGAAAAACAAGTCCACATTGTAAAAAGAAAGTGACGTTTTTTTCTAAACATCTTCTTAAATCACTTGAACATGCATATTGAAATAGAAAATAAACTGGACATGCTGGAAGAAGCTATTTAGCCCATGTCTGAAAATGTACCTGTAAATTTAGAAATTTATGCAAATATTAAATACTTCAAACCCATGACATCCATCCAAAATGTAAAATCAAAATCAAACAAACAAATCAATGTAATATAAATATGTACACAATATGATATAAAATAAAATAAATATTATCTTTGAAAGAAAATACTATCCTGTCTATTTATGTGCTATATCACCATGTCCCTCTGAACATTTTAAGAGAAAGAATTTGAAAAATAGGTTATGGTGATTATATTTTGTATAAATCCTCATCATTAGCAAGGGAGCCTCGGTGGCTGAGTGGTCTAAGTAGTCAAACTACTGTATCACTTGACTGTCGACACTGAGATTGTGAGTTCGAACACCGAATGAGGCAAGTGCGTTTCACTTCAATCTTAATTGAATAGGATTGTCAGTTTTCCTACCAAAGGTGTGTGGTTCTCTTTGGGCACTGGCTTCCTCCTCCAATTAAAACTGACCGCCACGAAATAGTACAATAGTGCTGAAAGTGGCCTTTAACACCAATCAATCAATCATCATTACCTAACATGTATTCACATGAAATATGTACAACAGTAGATAATAGGTATATGTGCATCAATGATACAGCAGCCCATCAACCTTATCTAGAGGATCCTAGGATCCTGAATCATTCATCTGGTAAAAATATATAAAACTATATACATACAAATCAAAATCTTCTAACCCTCATAATTAGTTACTTTACGTGTCAAACACAGCGGATACTCTGATGAACTAGATGATTGTTCTTGTTAAGTGTCATATTTGTATTGTCAAATTAAATATACCTCACAAGGTATCTGAGCATGATAAAAATTTGTATACAAAATAAAAAATCTGATGTTTTCTTTAATAAGTTTGCATAATTGACAGCTGTATAGTACCTAATTATTGAGTATTCATTACAATTAAACAAACTGTAAAAGCAACAGTAATACTTTATGAAAGTGTTAAGTATTTACAACACACTGCATATGTTAACCTTTATATACCCTCAGAATTAATTAAGCTATAAAGTGTATATATTTATTTTCTGATGATTTGTATTAAGATGTCAAGATATCAGTATTAAATGGACTACTGGTGTCATTGTTATGACAAAATATAGGGTATTTCGGGTGGACTTGCACATTGTTATTTAAGGATGTTGGCTGCTTTGTTTCAGAATAAAAACCTTTTCAAAGACTGTATCTAAATAATGGAAGTAAAAAAGCAGAAAAAATGAAAGGTCTGTGTCTTGTTTTTGAGACATAAGCTATTGAAAATTTGGCTGAAATGACTATCTTTAGATTTTTCATACATTTAGCATCGACACCTTCTTTCAAATACTATGAAAAAATAACAAGGATTTTGTAAGATTTTCAAAAATGACTTTTTAAATTATATGTAATAAAATAATGAAAAGAAAAAAAAATTTAAATGGCACTACCAGGAAAAAACCAGAATATCTAATAAAAAGTCAAAAACAGCATACCTGTGTAAATTAATTGTTTTTTATTACAATATGTTGGTAGCTGCTTGAAAATAAAAAAATATAAATTAAAAGTTTGTACAAATCAACTTACACATAAGAGAGCAAATATCAGAAACATAAATCTTATTTACAAAATAAAGTCTAAGACACAAAAAAAAATAAATATATGTCTTACACATTTGTACAAATCAACTTACACAAAAAATAGAAAATATCATATATTAATCATATATACAAAATAAGTCTTAGACACAAATGTCAATAAAGCTGTTCAATAAAAAAACATGCATCGAACCCGGAGAAGGCAACTTGTAATTTCAACTATAGGTCGGTGAAAATACTGCTTTGAAAACATGAAAAATGTAAGTGAATATCTAAAATTGAACATATAAGTAAATGATATCCGCATTTTGAATATGCCTTCCCTTGGTACCACGTATGTTGGAATGGAACTGCTCTAAATAATTTGATAATTATTAGCTATTTTAAATTCATTTTCTGCTTCCCAACTTTTATGATGCTCAGTGGCATAGGCACTGGAAAACAAATTGAAAGCACGTGTCTGAATGCCGTCCCCCAGAAGCTGAACGATTATAGTAAAATTTGTCAGCACATGCTTACAATGCTATAGTGGTGCTACACCACTGATGCTGAAAAGTATAAACTGTGGGAATTTATTTTAATTTCTGTGGATTGAGGGAAAATTGAATATTTCTCTTTACTTGTTTTCTTGTATTAAGGTCAAGCAACAGTAAATGGGCTATGTAACAGATTCTGGTAAAATTTTGCATATAACTATGGCATGTTGAGCTCTAACTGAAAAATTTAAAAAGATAAGTCTTTTAACTGTTTTATACTTGCTCAAACCTTACTGAATGAAATCCCCATAAATCATTCAGCAATTGTATAGAATTTACATTAAATCTATCAAAAACTTTGTCAAAATTATCTTTCAAAACTTCTTTTTCTCTACACCCACTGCATAGGTTATTCAAATCTACATGTTTTTGCCATATACATTTCAGTTTTAAAGAGGTAAAATAATATAAGGGTTACTGACTTCTTTTTTTCAGTAAACATCAGTCAAAGGTAAAAAAAAAATATACCCCAAGATGGTGAAAATGTTGTAAGGCTAAAAAAACATAATTTTTTTAATGATTTTCACTACCATCTAGATAGCAGATAAGTTAAACTTCAAAATCATAGTGACCTTATCATAACTTATATAAATCAAATGGAAATTTATGTATCAACCACATTTCAAAAATGGGTCCCTGTTTTGTAGCTAAAATTTTAAATAAGGGTTTATAATGACATAGATAGGAAATAGGTCTCTTCATTGAAAATTTATGAATCAGTGTTCTTTTCATGACATTATAAATAGCACAACTTTTGATTTTCCTCGAAATTCAATGGAAACAGGTCAATTTCCATTGGTTTTCAAGATTGGAAACATACAGTGCATACAATGATAAAAAAAAATCTTTCGACATTATGCTTAATATCAAATAATATATTTGACTTGAATATTTAGTTTGTCATACCCTGCATTCTACGTTTCCTAGACTGAAATGTGGTTAAAATCCAGACGATTTTGTCAACTTTCACCCAAATATCTATTTTTGGTCTATTTGGGATGGTTATATCAACACTTTATAAGAAAATCTTGACAAGAATAATTCTATTTCACCTTTTACATGCCTATTCATCAAAATGAAACAATTTTTGTATTGTAAAAATTGACCAAATATTCATTTCCAAATAGGGCCCTTAAATATACTCCTTTAGCATACAAGCTTACAGAAAAAAAATATTTCAACTAAGCTAAGATTGACTTCAATCCAAACAATATCAAAAGATTAGCCTTCATTCGTAAGTTTTTAGATATTGAATAGGTTTCCCTTCTTTAAATTCAACTGTTCACATTTCATTAACCTCAAAAAAACTTTGCATATCAAAATTACAGCAATGTGTAGCAGAGACCACTGATACTTAGAAATTAATTATATTTTTACTTAATCACAACAATCCACACAAATAGGTAAATTTGAGTCAATTTCTGTTTTAAAATTGATAATAGTTAAAACAACTACTTTTTTCAAAAGTTGTTGTGTTGGTGAACTAGCTAATTTCTTTAAAATAGCCAATATATCAAATATTCATCATAAACATACACATATCAAGTTTTTAATATGTTGCTTATGAGTTCCAATAACACTGATGAGGCCTGTTGAGCAACAGTTCTTTTCTGGTGACATTTAACAATAATTTAACAGGATACTTGCTCACAAACTATAACACCCTTAAAGTCAGTTGACATTGTCAGTGGTTTTATGTCATATCCTTTCTGGTGTCTCCTAATAAAAGTTTCTTTAAAGACTGATATTACTGTCTATAAGATCTTAAAGCTTATAATTATTGTATTGTGAATAATGGCCTCATCAGTAAAGATATACTACATTTTGTAATCGGGGTCTTTTCCAGGTTTTTGATTTTCTACAAAAAAAGGATTATACACATAATTATTACTAAAGAATTACTGATGAAGGTTAATCAAGAAATGTCCTTAAGATACATCAATTTCATAAAGTTTTATTTTCATTTTAATCATCATCATCATTGACTGGAATGTAAAATATAAATGTCAATTTTGATCATTCCTCAAATAACATATCAATAAAAATTACAGTCAGAATGTTGATTTTTTATCCTTCATAAATACATGTACACAATATGGCTAAAGAAAGACCTAAAAAATGATAAATTGTTTGATTTTAAAAAGTCCTCGTATTTAAAATTCTCAAATAATATATTCAATAATAGATACCTGAGGCAAATGCACAGCTGTCTTCTTCACTCTTGTTTTCATCATCATCATCTGTTCCTGTATCAACTATTAAAATAAAGTTACCATTAAAACAAGATTTCAGTACTTGGTTAAATTCTTAATTCACTTCTTTCAAACAATTTATAAATTTGAAAATGTGTCCCCTAACCTTGCCAAATCATCATGGACATTTATACCTCATAATGTTTCTAAAAATGTTTTAAGAATGTCATGAAGATTCAAATTTAGATTGTGAAAAGTGAACAGCAAAAGTGATACAGACAGACGGTCATCTTTAGACAATTATATTATAAAACTTGTGCTTTATCCTTATTTTAACTTGAAAATAAACAAAACTAACCAGTCTTAAATATTAAGTCTCTACTAACATGACTAAAGATATTTATATTTATATATACTGTAATCATTAAACCCACAAACAGATACTTTAAAAAGTTGGCAGGTATGAATATTAAGAATTAAAATGTCAATTGTTCAACAATCCTTTTGATTTTTACTCTATCAGTAGCATCCTCACCACTTAATTCAGTCAAGCCTGTTGAACCATCACCAAAAAGTTGGTCCTCATCTATATCATCTATATCCTAACATAGAAATTTGTATACAATTAAAAATTAACAATATTTATAAATTAACAAATGTATATAAAACTATTGATTAAGACAATGAACATGTTGAAGACAAATATCCCAAGCCATATTTTCAGGCTAAATTATCAACTCATGCAAAGTTTTACAAAACATCCTCATGACTAGTTAGCTGATATGGACACAGGTGTCCACAGATATATTCCAATTGTCGCAGCCAAAATCTTGTTCCCTTTTTCCTTTTCAATTGTGACATTACTGATTGCAGCTTACCACTGATTCTATATTTGCCATGAGAAAAAAGAGTGTTGTCACATGAGGAGCAGAATCTGTTTATCCTTCTATAGCACCTGACCTCACTTCTAGTTTTTGGTGGAGTTTGTGGTTTTATGGTTTAGTTTTCTATGTGATGTTTTGACATCTGCTTGTCTTTTTATTGTATTTCATATTTTGCCAGGATGTTGTAGATTTTTCTTTGTCTTATGATTCTTGATTGTCCCTTTGGTATCTTCTGCCTCATTTTCCATGTTATCTATTTTGGAAATACTTCCATTTATCTTCCCCTTTCCACCATTACAGGACTTGGCAATCCAACTTAGAGTGGATTCAAGCTTTACAGGTGTTGCATACAGGTAGAGAATAATTCTACATTACAGCAAATTTTACTAAAATTCCCTGCAATTCTATTTAAACTCCAACCTAAGGAAGCTTCTAGTGGAAATATTATATTAATTGTATACTTCTACTTAAATTGATAGATTTCAATAATGCAGAAAAGTGATTTCAGTTTCGTAAGTATTTTAAGTTCTAAATTGAACATGTTGAATACCCTAGTAAAATAATTTTTTATCATTTGAGACTCAAAACTTTCAATTATTTTCATTGTTGAACATATGTTTGTATTCTGTTATACTTACATCACTCACTGGTAAACAAAATTTGTCTTCACATACAATTGATTGTGTATAATCTAGCTTCTCTAAAAATACAAATCATATTTAAGACAAAATTTGAAAATGTTTTTTATTTCAATTGATTTTCAAAAATCTTAGTAGTTGAATTCAAGATGGTTTTAAATTTAAGCAACATATGTATTATCATGATTATATAATATGTACTGTCAAATTCTTCTATTTCAAGAAGAAAAAAAACTTGTCATACTGTGTAATCAAATAAAAAAAAATTATATATATAAGCTATGCACAAATGTTTCTATATTATGAAAATGTTCTAATCTAACACATTCTAACATTAAATGATATTTTAAAAACAAGAGGCTCTCAAGAGCCTGAATCGCTCACCTGTTATTTTTTTTTGCTTAAATCTTTTATCAATGATTATTTTTGCTTTTTACCCATATGTTCCATTTTAGCCATAGTGTCTATGTTTCTTGACGTACAAGGAAATGAAGTACAAAATTTATACTAGATTCATTTGAGAAGATTTAAGTTAAAAAACATAAAACAACTTGTGTAAAATTGTCCTTAAAGGGCAATTACTCCTAAAGGGGTCAATTGACCATTTTGGTCATATAAAACTTTTTTGTAGATCTTACTTTGCTGAACATTTTTGCTGTTTACAGTTTATCTTTATCTTCAATAATATTCAAGATAATAACCAAAAACTGCAAAATTTCCATAAAACAACCAATTTAGTGGCATCAACCCAACAATGGGTTGTTTGGTGTGTCTGAAAATTTCAGGGCTGATAGATCTTGACCTTTGGAACATTTTTTACCCCATGTCAGATTTGCTCTAAATGCTTTAGTTTCTGAGATATAAGCCAAAAACTGCATTTCACCCCTATGTTCTATTTTTAGCCATGGCGGCCATGTTTGTTGATGGATCAAAATTTCGGATACAATTCATAAACTAGATTCCTAAAGGAACATTCAGTCAAAGTTAAGAAGTATTAGGCACAATAATTTCAGAAGAGAAGATTTTTAAATGTTAGCAAACTTGATGAACACATTGCGTAAAATTGTATTTAAAGGGCAATAACTCCTTAAGGGGTCAATTGACAAATTTGGTCATTTAATTTTTCTGTAGATCTTACTTTGCTGAACATTATTGCTGTTTACAGTTTATATCTATCTATAATAATATTCAAGATAATAACAAAAAACTGCAAAATTTTCTCAAAACTACCAATTTAGTGGCAGCAACCCAACAATGGGTTGTTCGATTTGTCTGAAAATTTCAGGGCTGATAGATCTTGACCAATTGAACAATTTTACCCGTGTCAGATTTGTTCTAAAAGCTTTAGTTTTGGAGATATAAGCCAAAAACTTCATTTGACCCCTATGTTCTATTTTTAGCCATGGTGGCCATGTTTGTTGATGGATTAAAACTTCGGATACAATTTATAAACTAGATATCCTAAGGAACATTTAGATGAAGTTTGAAGGTATTTGGCCGAGTAGTTTCAGAGGAGAAGATTTTTAAATGTTAGCAAACTTGATGAACAAATTGTGTAAAATTGTCTTTAAAGGGCAATAACTCCTTAAGGGGTCAATTGACAATTTTGGTCATATAAACTTTTTTGTAGATCTTACTTTGCTGAAAATTATTGCTGTTTACAGTTTATATCTATCTATAATAATATTCAAGATAATAACAAAAAACTGCAAAATTTCCTTAAAACTACCAATCTAGTGGCAGCAACCCAACAATGAGTTGTTCGATTCGTCTGAAAATTTCAGGGCTGATAGATCTTGACCAATTGAACAATTTGACCTGTGTCAGATTTGCTCTAAAAGCTTTAGTTTTGGAGATATAAACCAAAAACTGCATTTGACCCCTATGTTCTATTTTTAGCCATGGCGGCCATGTTTGATGATGGATCAAAACTTAGGATACAATTTATAAACTAGATACCCTAAGGAACATTTAATTAAAGTTTGAAGGTATTTGGCCCAGTAGTTTCAGAGGAGAAGATTTTTGAAATACGACGACAGACGACGGACGCCAAGTGATGGCATAAGCTCACATGAGGCCCTTCGGGCCCCTGTGAGCTAAAAAGAAGATTTTTCTAGGTATACTTGAACAAAAAATTTGATGACCAAATGATTTTTTTCAAGTAATAATTGATAAATCAATATACCTTCCATCCTGTCATTGGTCCCAAATTGTCTACCAGCTTGGTATAAATTAACCCGATTTCCACTGAGGTCTGAATGGATTTCTGGTTCATTAGTCTGAATATTTTTAGTGGAAACTGCAACAATAGGAGAATCAGCAGGGGTATTTTCTTTATTAGAAGTGACAGATACTGGCAGCTGTTGACTAAACCTTTCTACAAATGGTACACTGTTCTTCTCATATTGGCTCTCTGGTAATTCAGAATTCATCATAGGAGAAAATCTGGTATTTCTTAAGGATTGTGAGGGAGTATGTGATTCAGAATTCACCAAAGGTGTTGGAAACAAACTGGTATTTCTAGAGCACTGTGAAGGAGTATGTGATACAGAATTCATCAAAGGTGTTGGAAACAAACTGGTGTTTCTTAAGCACTGTGAAGGAGTATTTGATGACAATTCAGAGTGATCATTTGATCTCGTCTTGGTTTCTGTATTGTGTATTGTGATAGTGTTTGTGTCTGACTGAATATGTTCTCCATCCAAGTCTCTTGTTCCTGTTGGTCTAACATTTGTAGATACTTGATGATTTGAACAGTCACCTCTTTCCTGCGACAAATCACCTTGTTGAGAAAGATTTTCAGACTCAACTGCCTCCTGGTGTGGAAAGTTAGATGAACATTGGGCTGCATTATTTTCTAAAATATCAATGACATGATTGGCTTCTGAGTTTAGACTTGTATGGTTAACGTTAGAATTTGGTTCTTCATTGACTTCAGCAATTATCTGTCCAAGGGAAAATGAATGTTGACCTGATGAGAAATACCTTCTTCTGCCTGACTGGTACCCAGATGATAAGGTATGCCTTAACTGTTGTCCAGAAGCATTAGACATTGGAAAATCCCTATTTTGTGATATTGAATGTTGCAAACTTGCATTTTCAATACCAGAATTATCATCATAATAGAGTGATAAAGAACTAATGCCACTACTTTCTTGTAATGATCTCAAGTTATTCGTACGATGAAGATTTAAGTCAACTGTGGGGACAACATCTACATGGTCCTGATTTTCTGTTCGTCTCTGGTTTCCACTATCCCTATCAAAATCCCGGGTGTTTCCAATATGTATATAACCAGGTATTTCATCTAAAACCAGAACCATTATCCGGTAATTTCCTTGAAAGATTCTGCCATCTTGAAAATTATCAAATAAATATGAACAGTCATTCGAATTGTTGTATATGAACTTCTTAGTCTCACCATGGTGACACACTATAAATTTTGGACAGGTAGGATCCATTTCAGCACATATACTGACTGAACCATTCTTCATTTCTGATTTAGCTTTTTGGTAAATCTGTTGCCTTAATTTCTTTGACAGTCTTTTTGATTTAGCCTGAAAAAATCAGTCAATGACATTAGAGTGAATGGATATATATTATGCATTATGAAACACTGAATGATATCAAGAGTACATTGTATTTAAAACTATGATAGTATAATCATAATTAAATGTAATCATCACCAAGAAGGCAAGGGCACAATATGTCATCTCTATGGAAAAGAGATGTACAGGTGCTTCTACAATTGCATACCATATATCATTGACAAACCATAAGTGGTTCCCCTTAAACATACCTAACTAACATGTACCTGGTAAGCTATTTCAATGTCAATAGATCATGACTGAGGGGGCTGGGCATAAAAAACTAAAGGAAATGAGATGTGAATATGCTTATACAACTGCTTACCAAGTATCACTGATATACCATTAGTGGTTTCTGATCTCATTTACGCATAATGTTGATGCCACAAAAACTGCTGCCAGAAACAGAACAAAGAAATCCTGTTTTACTAGCTTCTTTGAGGCAAGACAATAACAGCAAAATAGCAGTATATAGCACGCTAAACAACACATGGTTAAACTACACAAGATGACTTAGGCCAGGGTTTTGTAATTTGTTGGTTTAACCACTGTTTACAAATTCTGGTTTTTCAGTCAAAAAAAAAATTGTTTTACGTGATATCAATATGAATACTGTGAACTTCAGCTTCATTTCTATACTTGTGTCACCTTTTTTGTCATCATTCCTTAAATTTTAGGGCCAAACATTTTTTGTTGGCTGTTTTCAACATACAATGCATGTCATCGTTGTACAAGTTTGTAAAAAAGGAAGGGGGTTATACATGCTTTAACAAACGGGACATAAATGGTCATTTCATTATGTATAACAAATTAAAATAGCAATACCTTGCCTTCTATCAATTTCCCCAGCACACAGTAAATAATGAGCTTCAAGAAGGTATGCATTTATCACCCAACAAGTAGACCCATGTCCAATGTGAAAGACAGGGATATTGGTTTTATTTTTTTTGCAAGGTAACCTCATGCACTGATATCGAAAATGGACAAACAAATTTTGTGCAACCTTTGAAATAAGAAAATTTCAAATTGTTTGTGGTCATCATCTGTTGCTTTGAACTTAACGTCTTTCCCGTTTGGAGAGGGCAATCTTCTTCTTCTTTACAAAACTATCTACTGGGTTATGTCATCAGCTGTATGAGAAGAGAATACCATAATACGTCCCGTAAACGGGCGTATAAAAACTGATGGTGCATTATTGGTATCTTGAAAGTGACCTTACTTGAATGTTATCTTTTCTCTATTTCAATTCAAGTCAGGTGCTCCCCTGAATGCGGATGTTTATCTGTTTATACAAACAAACCGCAAGTATTTATTTCAATTTTGAAATGAATGAAAAAATAAATTCAAATAATAAATGGGTATAACTCTGGTTCAATTCTTAAAAGTTTGAGAAAACGTTCTTCTGTTTAGAGTCCAAAACATTCCATTAAAATTTCAATCAAGTAAAAGAAATTATCAATCATCATCCAGTAACCACAAAGTTTTTCCACCATCAAAAACTATAACTCTCAGATAGCGGAAGTGAAAACAACACAATCAACTTATTAAATTATGTGCTTTTGATGGTCCTTTTACTTCAGTGACTTTTCTACCATTACACTATACTTCTACACATTCTTATCAAAAGCAAGTTTTCCTATCTAATTTAATCATTGTTAATGGTCATTTGAAAAATCTAATTGCAAATTCATCTGCTGCAACTTATATAAAGCTGTGTAATGAAAAAGGTAAGTATGCTAAATATAATACTAGAAGTCTTGAGTTTAGCCCTTTTCAACTGATTTTTATAGTTTTTTTTTATGTTGTGCTGTCACTACACTGTCCAAGATTAGGGGGGGGGGGGGTATGCCCTCAAACATGTTTGACCCCGCCACATTCTGTATGTGCCTGTCCCAAGTCAGGAGCATGTACAATGTAATAATCAGTGGTTGTCGTTTGTTGCTGCATATCAAAATTGTTTTTCCTTTGTTTTGTACATAAATCAGGATGTTAGTTTTCTCATATGAACTGTTTTACATTTGTCATTTCGGGACCAGCTTGCTATATGATAAGGGATTTGCTCATTGTTACCCGGATTTGTTTTTGCTTATAATCGAATTATGACTATTGAACAGTGGTATACTTCTGTTGCCTTTATTTAAAGGCCATACAGTGACCTATAGTTGCTATCCTTCAAGTCATTTGGTTTCGTAAGTGGAGATTTGTTTTCGTTGGCAATCGTACCACATCATCTTATTTTTATAATGATTATTATTGCTTTTTGTATCTTTAGTGTTTTTGCAAACTTCACAAAAATATGAAATTTTCTATAACTTTTAAAGCATATTACATTTTTGCATTGACAAGATGGATATAACACTTTTCAGTTTCTATTGTAACAGTTGTAATATTTCTTAAGTTTTTATATTTACCAATAAATGATAACATCTATTTTCTGTCTGTACATGTTCATTTTCTATATCAAAAGTAAAAGAAATATGTTAAATAAAGTGTTTGAAGTGATTACACACACATAGTTTTTCTCAGAAACACATCTGCTGTATAAATACAACTAAAAATTTTGTCACTGTCCTTTTTCCCTAACACATTTTGTTTTAAAACCAGAGATGATAAGTATGATAAGCACATAATTTGGTCATTGTATAATGAAAGTTCTAAATATAATCCGATTTATCACTTCATTGAAGCTATTCCAACAAGTTTGAGTATAAAATTGTATTTAAAGGATCTACACATAGCTTGAATGCAGGAAATATTTTAATCTGTTGTAAACATCATAGCCTACAAATCATCTTTCATCTTTAAAAGATAATTGTCATTTCAATATTTACTGAATTCAACTGAATACTAAAAAGTTTAGTAAAAACTGTGTTCTAAGGACAACTAACTAGTGAATAATCTTACAAAAATAAAGCTGTTTCCTCATAAATGCAAAAGAAAGTTGAGTCAAATATTTTTAGAAAATTTAATACAATCAAACAATTTAAAATAAAATGCTCCGCTGGTCACAGCTTGATACAACCGCAGAGGTCAAACCCAGAACAGTTGGGGCAAGTATGGACAGTACATTCAAGTTTGATACAGCTCTGGTTTTGGTTGTGATTAAATATTTGACATTGCATAGGGACTTCTGACACAGAATGAATGTGGTTAAAGAACTGGAAATTGAAATTTGACTTTTACCTATCATGGCCCAATTTTCAAAATCTAAATACATGGTTAGATTCAGGTTATCATAGAACCCTAAGAATTTGATTTTTGATGAAATCAAACAAACTTTAATTTTGGTCATCACTGTGGTCCAATTTGATAACAGGGCCCTGAAAATCGAAAATCTAAATACATGGTTAGATTAAGCACATTAAACAACGTCATATAGTTAATTTTTGGACTTATATTTGGACAGAATCAGCATATTCAAGTATACCAAGAAATCAATATAGGAGTAAGATCATGAATGGTTCAAACCGGCCCTAAGAATTTGATGTTTTTTTTTTAAATCAGTCCAAAATACTACAAATTTCAAGTAGAAATAGTTGCAATGTAACTATTTATACAAGGTAACCTGTTTTTGACACATCAAATTGAAAATGATGAATAAATTATCCCTCAAGTATGCCTTATTTTTTTAAACGTGAGTTTTTTTGTAAAATTTTCAATATTTCCAACAGTTTTTTACATAATTTACTTTGGACGCCATCCCTGATCCAGGATGTTTTGTGTCTAGGGATTGAATATCATGATTGGCAACTTTTGGCTACTGAACATTTTTTATCCTAGGTGGTGGTCAAGGCTGTTGAAAGCTATTGGATGTACTGGCAGCTAAAATATGTCATGTCTCAAATTTCAAATAAGTTTTGTTCTTTTTCTAGTTGCCTTTTATCAACTATTTATTTGTAAACGACAAACTGAATAGGAATAAAACAAGAATGAGTCCATAGTACATGGATGCCCCACTCGCACTATCATTTTCTAGGGAGCCTTGGTGGCCGAGTGGTCTTAGTAGTCGTACTTGCTGTATCACTAGCCAGTCAACACTGATGTTGTGAGTTCTAATCCCGCATGGGGCAGGTGCAATTGACTCCAATCTGAATTGACGAGGATTGTCAGTTTTCCTACCGAAGGTCGGTGGTTCTCTCCGGCTTCCTCCACCAATAAAAACTGACTGCCACGAAATAGCACAATAGTGTTGAAAGTGGTGTTAAACACCAATTAATCAATCAATCAATCTATCATTTTCTATGTTCAGTGGACTCTGAAATTGGGATCAAAACTCTAATTTGGCATTAAAATTAGAAAGATCATATCATAGGGAACATGTGTACTAAGTTTCAAGTTGATTGGACTTTAACTTCATCAAAAACTACCTTGACCAAAAACTTTAACCTGAGCACTAAAAACTTTAACCTGAAGCGGGACAGATGGACGGACAAACAGAAGGACGAACTGACACACAGACCGAAAAGCATAATGCCCCGCTACTATGGTAGGTGGGGCATAAAAATACAATTAATTTAGTATACATCATATATATACTAGTTAAGGTGGCACGGTAGTATTTCCTGGCCCATAGGGATAATAATAGCCTTTTTAGAATGTTCTCCTGTTTCTAACACTGCCCAAAATTCTACATACACAATCTGAAGTACTTTCAATATAATATTTAGAAATGAATGACTGTTTACTTTTTTGCTATCTTTTTGAACCTGAGGCCACTTTTTGTTTTTATGTTTTTTTATCATGCAGTGAATATAACAATGTATAAAATTCTCAAAAACTCTTTTTAACCTGTATGTAAAATTATTCTATAACTTTCTACAGGTGATTCATTCCTCAGTCTGTTTAGTTGAAACTGTATGTTTTGTCCAATCACACTGTTCAGATACATTGACTTATTAGTAAGGTACACAAATGAGCAACCTAAACACTGGAATGTAAATACTATTGTGCCACCTAGAAGGTTACAAGAGTGCAATTATTTGTTTACATTTTTACCCCAAGATGGTACTAAGAATAGAATCTTGTATGGCTTCTGATTGGATGATACAGGATTGGAATTACTTTAAATCGAAAGCTTATCCAACAAGAAATGATTGTAACAGGATGCTGCTACAAAGTCTCCCAAAGGAAGCTCCTATAATTCGTAATTCCAAGAGTCGCCTGACATTGGGTAAAGTCCAGTGAAAATTGGTTTGGTCCAGTAAAGTTATATGCATTAATGATGCCTGGGGACTAACCCTGTATATCATTCAAATCATCTTGGCATGACAAACCAGAATATATATATGGTTTAGGGGTGGGGATCTCGACCATTTACAAGATATTAGAACAAGGGGGGTGGGGGAACCCCTTGGGATTGACCCTATACGTCATTCAAATGTTCGAGACATGATGAACAGGAATATATATAGTTTAGGGGTGAGGATCTCAACCATTAACAAGATTTTAGAACATTGGGGGTGGGGGAAACCCCTGGGGACTGACCCTATACATCATTCAAATGTTCCAGACATGACGAACAGGAATATATATGGTTTAGGGGTGGGGATCTCGACCATTAACAAGATATTAGAACATTGGGGGTGGGGGAACCCCTGGGGACAGACCCTATATGTCATTCAAATGTACAAGACATGACGAACAGGAATATATATGGTTTAGGGGTGGGGATCTCAACCATTTACAAGATATTAGAACATTGGGGGTGGGGGACCCCTGGGGTCGGACCCAATAAGTCACTCAAATGTTCGAGACATGAAGAACAGGAATATATATGGTTTAGGGGTCGGGATCTCGACCATTTACAAGATATTAGAACTTTCTCAAATGGCAGGGGGTCGGGATGACCCCTTGGGACTAACCCTGAATATCATCAAACCATCTTTGCATGACAAACCAGAATATATATGGTTTAGGGGTGGGGATCTTGACCACTGACAAGATAATAGAACTGTCTTAAATGGCAGGGGGTGGGGGTGACCCCTGGGGACTAACCCTGTATATCATTCAAACCATCTTTGCATGACAAACCAGAATATATATGGTTTAGGAGTGGGGATCTTGACCACTTACAAGATATTATAACTTTCTTAAATGACAGGGGTGGGGGTGACCCCTGGGGACTAACCCTGTATTTCAGTTGATGTGCTTTATCATGACAAACCAGAATATATATGGTTTAGGGGTGGGGATCTCAACCATTTACAAGTTATTAGAACTTTCTCAAATGGCAGGGGGTCAGGATGACCCCTAGGGACTAACCCTGTATATCATTCAAACCATCTTAGCATGACAAACCAGAATATATATGGTTTAGGGGTGGGGATCTTGACCACTTACAAGATATTAGAACTTTCTTAAATGGCAGGGGGTGGGGAGGACCCCTGGGGACTAACCCTGTATTTCATTTAATGTGCTTTATCATTTAGAACATTTTCAATTAAAAAGATTGTGTCTATCACAAACGGTTTTCAATTTATAATCATTTGAAAATTAAAAAAAATAAAATCCCATAGGGGTCTATAGTAAAACCCTCCTTTATTTTTGCCCCTCAAAGTACCCCTTTATAAACCCCATTGCATAAACAAAACCCTGATTGCACCACTAGACATGTTAGCCTTACATACTGTGAAACCCTAAGTTAATCTGACAAGCGGTTTTGGAGAACGGGTGCGGACAAGTTCAAATTTAAAAGCGGCGGAAGGGGAAGAGGAAGAGGAAGAGGAAGAAGAATATTAATAATAATAATAATAACTGAGCAAAACCAATAAGTCTCTCAAACTTCGTTTGGGAGACTTAATTAGGTTTAAACAAGAAGGTGTCCATAATACACGGATGCCCCACTCGCACTATCATTTTCTATGTTCAGTAGACCGTGAAATTGGGGTCAAAACTCTAATTTGGCATTAAAAATTACAAACATCTTATCATAGGGAACATGTGTACTTAGTTTCAAGTTGATTGGACTTCAACTTCATCAAAAACTACCTTGACCAAAAACTTTAAACTGAAGCAGGACACTGTCACATTCTATGTTCAGTGGACCGTGAAATTGTGGTCAAAACTATAATTTGGCATTAAAATTAGAAAGATCATATCATAGGAAACATGTGTACTAAGTTTCAAGTTGATTAAACTTCAACTTCATCAAAAACTACCTTGACCAAAAACTTTAACCTGAAGTGGGACAGACGGATGGATGAACGGAAGCACAGACCTAAAAACATAATGCCCCTCTACTATCGAAGGTTAAAATCTAGAAAATCAAATTCACATTTTACAAAGTATAGAAAATATATTCAATATCTGCACGTCAGAGCAATTAAAAATCTGCCTTTTTCATTAAGCGAAAAAAATAGACGATGTTTTTCATCAGCATTTTAAGTCAATTTTTGCCACATGACCATATATATTTTTTTGGTTGTTATGCAACACTGACATTTCTAGTAACAGGCA